ACTTCTTTACACAGCGTGTAGTCAGAGTATGGAATAGTCTTCCTGCTATTGTAGTGGAAGCTAAAACCATGGGTTCCTTTAAATCAGAGCTAGATAAGATTTTAAGAACTCTTAGCTATTAGCTAAGTTCTCCCCAAATGAGCTTGATGGGCCGAATGGCCTCCTCTCGTTTGTAAATTTCTTATGTTCTTATGTTCCAAGTCAGAGCCAAATGTCCTCAGTGTCACACGGGCAATTTATTTACAGACAGCTGTACATGTACATGAAAAAATGGCTCAAAAATTTGTCCTACCTTACAGCATTTTGACAGATATATCTATCGATTGGTGCTACCTTACCGAGAATGTTATTGTCATTTTTATGGGCTGAAACTGAGAGTGGATAATCCAAAAAATAAATACGTAACTTGTCTAAAAAATATGAACTAATGTAATGTAAGCAGGCATTGTGAGTCTGAAATACCTTATAAGATTACGTGTTAAAACATGTCAGGTAATTCGACATACAGCATAGTAAATCAGCATGATGCTGACAGTAAAGTGTGGTCAATGAATTTAATAAAATATTTAAAATGTATGAACATTGAAAACGCAGAAATAAGTCATAACTCCAACACAAGGTAGGATAGATCCATGGGCGGTTCTTCAAGCACGAGAAAAGGGGAATATAATTTTAAAGCAACAAACTATATCGATATAAACTATATTGTCTCATCATATATCTTGTATGAAAGTATATTGATATATCATAAAAACCCGATATATCGCCCAGCCCTAATGCATGTAGATTACATTCAAGACTGGACACCTTGTAGGAGAGTGCCCCATGGTGAATTACACAGATTTTTATACACTTTTCATATTTCTTATCAAGATATTCATCACAGAGGATGTCCCAGGCATCATTTTCTCTGGACCAATTGCTATCATTGTGACTCCCTTTCCCGGGCTCTGGTATTCCTCGGCCCTATATGTCTTACCATTACTAGTCTTTTTGGAGTCCAATTACTTCCCCACCCCTATATGGTAGGGTTGCCAATAATTTCTTTCTGAAAACACAATCATAGCAAAAATGGCCTTCACAATGTTTTGTATACTCATGGCACAGGGCCCAAAAACTGTCTAAGGACGCTATGAAAAAGTCCCAGGCAAGATGCCCTGAAAGTATCGTGCGAACCCACGTATTTATTCAATATTGAACAGTAGTAGTCTTTGGCAGTTTCAGCTGGCCACATGTTGCTACAGAGCCAATTACCACATTGGCCCAAATTTAAGACAACCCTGATTATAAGATGACCCTCCTACTTTTTGGGAACTATTTTTAGAAAGAAGGTTTCGGAATAAATTTTACCTTTATAAAGAAAAAAAAATTTATTTGGAAAAAAAAACATGTAAGTTAACCAGCTTAAAAAGCAGTCACAGGCAACTGGATTACAAGTATGAAACAGCAAATGTATTATTCTGGTGGGTTAGGTAATGAGTATTACAAACTCCACAAACCCTTGAAGGTGGAGAATGTTTTAGATGCAGCAGACCCAAATGAAGAGGGTAAAAAAACATATTGCGGTTAAAGGTTGAGCCATATTAATAAATTATACGACAGTGAATGAATTTTACTATCTTTATTAACAGCCATTATCAGTTTAATACTAGCAGTGGCACAGCCAGGGAAGCCAACAATTTACACAACACTTAGGGATACATGCTAAACACATGCTTGCTAGGGGGGCAACTCTCACGTATCTGGTGTGACACGCTTTTTGACTTTCATGCTCATGCTTGAAATCTTACGGCAAACCTATATTACGGGAAGTCAAAACACTTGTTAAAAAATATTGTATTTGGTGCCATGTATTACCTTTTTTGTCTAGACCCCGAATATAACACAACACCACTTTTTCAGAAATATTTTAAGAAAAAATATGTTTTATATTCGGGCCAATACACTGTATATTCTTTGGCCTTCAACATAGTAATAAGCTGCAGAGCTCACTAAGGCACATATTTATACAACCAGCATTAAAATAAAATACAGATGCAGAAGCATTGAGGCTAACATTACATGCAGAAACACTTATTTTGGTTACATCCTGCAGCAGTAATTGGTCTTCATTCTCTAGAGGTTACATGTTACATCTTTGTAGTCTTGTCCTAAGGATTACATTCACTATGTGTTAAGAACTTAAGAACATAAGAACTATACAAACGAGAGGAGGCCATTCGGCCCATCGAGCTCACTTGGGGAGAACTTAACTAATAGCTCAGAGTTGTTAAAATCTTATCTAGCTCTGATTTAAAGGAACCCAAGGATTCAGCTTGCACTAAGTTATCAGGAAGACTATTCCATACTCTGACTACACGCTGTGTAAAGAAGTGCTTCCTTAAATCCAGTTTGAAATGTTCTCCCGCTAATTTCCACCTATGGCCACTAGTTCTTGTATTTGAACTAATGCTGAAGTAACTATTCGGTTGAACAGCATCCAAACCTGTTAGAATCTTATAGACCTGGATCATGTCCCCCCTCAGTCTCCTTTGCTTGAGGCTGAACAGATTTAGCTCAACTAACTTTTCCTCGTATGACATTACTCTAAGACCAGGAATCATTCTTGTGGCCCTTTTCTAAGGCCGCAATGTCCTTTTTAAGATATGGTGACCAAACCTGCACACAATATTCTAGGTGAGGTCTCACCAAGGAATTGTATAATCTTAGCATTACCTCCCTTGACTTAAACTCCACACACCTGGAGATATACCCCAACATCCTATTGGCCTTTTTTATTGCTTCCCCGCACTGGCGAGAATGAGACATGGAAGCATCAACATACACACCAAGGTCTTTCTCATAATCAGCTACCTTTATTTCAGTAGGTCCCATAAAATACCTGTACTTTATATTTCTGCTCCCTACATGAGGTACCTTACATTTGTCTATGTTAAATTTCATCTGCCAGGTATCGGCCCAGTCACTAATTAAATCAAGATCCCGCTGTAGCTGCTGAGCCGCTAGTTCAGTATTTGCTACACCACCCACCTTGGTGTCATCTGCAAATTTCACCAGTTTACTGTATATATTGATGTCTATATCATTTATGTAAATTAGGAACAATAGTGGTCCTAAAATTGAACCCTTCGGCACCCCACTATGAACGCAGGCCAACTGTGATATTGTACCTCTTATAACTACTCGCTGCTTCCTATCTGTTAACCAGTTATCAACCCAGGTCGCTACAGTTCCTAAAATACCAGTCGCTTAGAGTTTAAGTAAGAGCCTCTTGTGGGGGACAACATCAAAAGCCTTTTGGAAATCTAAGTAGATGACATCATAGTCCTTCTTATCATCAACTTCCTGAGTAGCTTCCTCAAAAAACTCGAACAGATTTGTTAAACAGGATCTACCTCTCCTAAATCCATGTTGGCTATCCCTCAAAATGTTATTTGAGTGCAGGTATAATATTCCATACAAGCAGATACAAAAAATCAATGGATGGAAATTATGTTATTGTGTCTTGATATTAATGTCATACGTAATATTTTTTCTTAAAGATTTCCAAACTTGAACCCAACGGAACTTACCAATTCAGAATCCGAGCCGAAAACAAGTATGGAATAAGTGATGGCTGTGAGTCTGAGAAAGTTGTTCTGAAGGATCCGTTTGGCTTTCCTGGTCCACCGTTAAATGCCCGGATCGTTTCACGTACTCGGAATTCCATGCTGGTACGGTGGGAGCCCCCCAAGGACAACGGTGGTTCTACCGTCCAAGGCTATTGGTTGGAGAAGAGAGAGCGTGGAGCTGTTTACTGGAGTCGTGTGAACAGGGCCCCAGTCACTAAGCCAGCAGTGAAAGGTCTGGAATTCAACGTCCTGCGGCTCATTGAGGGCATCGAGTATCAGTTCCGTGTCATGGCCTGCAATGCTGCTGGCATTGGGCCCCACAGTGAAGCAACTGAATTTGCATTTGCGATTGATCCACGCAGTAAGTCCGCATAACATGCAGATGCCCCTTGTGTATATCTGTATAACTGTCTACACAGGCCAATAACAGTAAGGTATGATGCATACAGACATTAGACAGAAGGAAACTATAACCTTACAAGGCTATTATTGATGGTATAATTTGTAACCCTTTGCTTTATTCTTTAGATGTTCCTGGTACACCATCATCACCTGAAGTTGCAACCAAAACTAGTGACAGTGTCACACTTGTCTGGAGTGCACCAGATAAAGATGGTGGCAGCCCCATTCAAGGCTATGTCATTGAGATTCAGGACGAGGGCGCAACAGAGTGGAAGAGGTTGAATGAGCCAGACAAGATGAGCCTTACCACCCAATTTACTGTGCCAAATCTTGAAGAGAACAAAGAATGCAGGTTCAGGATTATTGCGGTCAATGCTGTTGGTGAATCTGACCCCAGTGCCAGATCTAATGCTGTGGTTGTCCAGGACATCCAAGGTAGTATCTATATGATTTTTCATCTAAAAAGCACTGTCACCATTTCCTTCCTTCTTGAGTTGCTTACTTGTGTTGTTTCTGGTTCACAGAGGATCCAGTTGTCACACTAGATGTCAGTTCCCAAGATCTGTTGTCCTGCCGGGCTGGATCTACCATCAGAATCCCAGTAGTTATCCAGGGAAGACCTGTTCCCAAAGTTAGATGGGAGTTTGAAGGTGCTACAAAGACTGAGAAGAAGAATGATATTCATACACTTTCAATGGATTCAGAGGTAGACTTTATTTTTGTTGAGCATATTGTATGCATTATTTTATGGATAGCAGTGCACATTTCTTTATTAATATCCTCTCTTTTCATATTTAGGTTCAATCGACTGACACCACATCAACTTTAATCATCCCAGAGAGTAAGTTAAGTCATTCTGGCAGGTACATCATCACAGCTGAAAACAAAGCTGGACAGAAAGTTGTTAAAGTCAGAGTTAACGTCATTGGTGAGTGGGGGGGGGGGGACAAATTGTCATGGATACATCAAAAAAATTGTTTCTGTTGCCTGTGTTCCTAAATGTTGATAATACATATTTTTTAGATTTGCCTGGACCACCAAGGGAAATTAAAGTTAGTGATATCACAAGAGGCTCATGCAGACTTACCTGGAAACCTCCTGTCAATGATGGTGGTATGAGAATTATGAGTTACTTTATTGAGAAGAAAACAGTGGAGGGAAAGGCCTGGACAAAAGTGAACCCAGCATGTGCCACTCAGTCCTTTGTGGTGCCAGATCTCATTGCTGGTCAGGATTACCTGTTCCGCATCCGTGCAGAGAACAACCTTGGCCTTGGGCCGCACATTGACACCATCCAGAGGACAACAGCCAGGGACCCCATCCGTGAGATATATAATTGCATTGATACAATTTGGAAAAAAGAATTTGAGAACATTCTTAAGAGGTTTGTTTATAATACGTAATTCAGCTTTCTATATTTTATTTAGATCCTCCGGATGCTCCTACAAGAGTTAAGATCAGGGAGGTGACCAAGAGCACAGTAACTCTGACATGGAAGGCACCCAAGAATGATGGCGGTGCCCCTGTAACACACTACAATGTTGAGCGTCTCTACTGGGATGCCTCTGGGACACAAAAGGAGACCTGGAGACAATGCAACAGGCGTGACATTGAGGAGACCACTTTCAAGGTTGAAGACCTCAACGAAGGAGGGGAATATGAGTTCCGTGTCAAGGCTGTGAATGATGCTGGTTCTAGCAAACCATCCTCCACCGCTGGACCAGTCACTGTCAAAGACCAAACATGTAAGTAAATTTGAAAGTTTATAAAGTTCCTCTTTATTCACAACAAAATGGTAGATACCTTGTGTTTTAATATATATATATATATATATATTTATTATTATTATTATTTAAGGTACACCTTCTATTGAGCTTGATGAATTCATGGAAGTGGAACAGGGGAATGACATCAGCATAGTTGCTAAAATTAGGGGTTGCCCTTTCCCCACCATCATGTGGCAGAAGGCCCCACCACATCGGGCTGATGATAAAGCTGATGTGCAATATGACGAACATATCAACAAACTGGTGTCAGACAGTAGCTGCACATTGCTGATCCAGCAGGGAACCAGAGCAGACACTGGCTTATATACCATCACAGCCAAGAACAACCTCGGGATTGCCTCCAAAGAAATGAGACTCAACGTGTTAGGTAAGTTGCAATACTTTATTCCCTTTATTCTCATTCATTACATATTAATCTCACATAAATTTACTGAAATGGTAAGATAGATGCACCACAGTGTGTTCAGTGAAGGCGAAATTGTGTTTTCTCAGGGCGCCCTGGAGCACCGTCAGCACCCATAAAATTTGAGGAAGTGTCTGCTGACAAGATTTCTTTGTCCTGGCTTCCCCCGAAGGATGATGGGGGTTCAAAGGTCACCAACTATGTAATTGAGAAGCGGGTGGCCAACAGGAAGACATGGATTCATGTTACCAGTGAACCCAAACAACGCATATACACAGTGGAGAACTTGATGAATGGCTACGAATATGTGTTCCGGGTCCGGGCTCAGAACAAATATGGTGTTGGAGATCCTCTAGATAGTGAAACTGAGAAGGCCAGGAATATTTACTGTAAGTGTATGGTAAACTGCTTCTCTAACCTGCTGTTAGACATAGTTGATACCAATGAATCATTAGATGATTTTGTGTGTATGTTTTTTTAAGTACCCCCTGGGCCATGTGAAAAGCCAACTATTTCAAGTGTAACCCATGAGTCGATGACAGTCAACTGGGAAGAGCCAGAAGATGATGGTGGATCGCCAGTCACTGGTTACTGGCTGGAACGCAAAGAGACAACCGCGAAACGGTGGAACAGGGTGACACGTGACCCCATTCGGATCATGCCCCTTGGCGTGTCCCACAACATGCGGGGTCTCATCGAAGGGTCAGAGTACCAGTTCCGTGTAACACCAATAAATGTAGCAGGGTGCGGCCCACCCAGCATGCCATCAGATCCGGTCTTTGCCAGAGACCCTATGGGTATGTCTGCGGCCTTCATTGTAGAGTTCATTGTACTGTTTTCTGTGGCTATATCTATGGTCTTTACTATAGAGCAGAGGTCAGCAACCTTTTTAAAGCAAAGAGCCATTTTCTCCTAAATGTCTGACCCAAGATTTACAAAGAGTCACAATGGGTAAAGAAGGGGGATTGAGATACGTTTTTTTAATGTGATATGTGTATATATGCATTTAAATAAAATAAAAGTTCAAGTACTTCTCATAACAATAGACGTGTTCACATTTTCATGTCTTAACATATTATGATAATACTATCGTAAAGATAAATCATGTTTTTATGAGCCACATGGTAAAAAAGCCGCAGGTTGCCGACTTCTGCTATAAAGTTTATTGTACTGTTGTCTAAGGGTAGGTCTACATCCTTTAGTGTAAAGTTTACTATACAGTATGTCCCCAGACTGACACACTCTCTGTTTTGTTTCAGTTCCTCCTGGTGCCCCTACTCCCAAAGTAACTGATTGGTCTAAATCGGCAGTTTATTTGGAATGGATCCCACCACTTAAAGATGGTGGATCAAAGATCATTGGATATGTTGTTGAATACAAAGAAGAAGGCCAAGAAGAATGGAAAAAGGTAAGTTATCACTGCCATTCATTATACTCTAATCTGCAAAATCAAATTAAGTCAAATGTAATATTTTCTTTTTAAGGCTATGGATAAGGAAGTGAGAGGCACAAAATTAGCAGTGACTGGACTGAAGGAGCTTGGATTTTTTAGGTTCAGAGTCAGTGCATTAAATGCCGCTGGTTTTGGTGAACCTGGTGATGTCACTGATGTGATTGAAGTCAAAGACAGGATAAGTAAGCTATTGGAATAATGCATTCTAGTTGTGATCAATTCCATAGAATTATTTTTATTGAAATACTGTAATGCTGTCAAAATTTTGCAGTTGCTCCTGAGGTGGATCTGGATGTTTCTGTGAAAGAAAGGATGGTCATTCATGTGGGTGGTGAATTCAATATCTTGGCCTATTACTGGGGCAAGCCTGCACCCCAGATCACATGGGATAGGGATGGATACTCAATGCCACCAGAAGCAGTCATTGAAACCACTGCAACTAGCTCTTCTGTTACACTGAAAAAATGCTCCAGAAAAGATAAAGGCACTTATACTTTGACAGCTAAGAATGAAGCAGGTGAAATGAAGAAAGCTGTTATTGTGGATGTGTTAGGTAAGTAATGTCAGTAAGGCCATTAGGAAATGTATCCTGAGGAGAATAGAAACTGAATTATTTTGAAATATATGTTGTTTCTTATTCACATAGATGTTCCTGGCCCAGTTGGTGTACCCCTATCCACAGAAAATCTCTCCAGTGACTCTTGTAAATTAAACTGGTTTTTTCCTGAAAATGATGGTGGTTCACCCATTAGTAATTTCATCATTGAGAAATGTGATGCTGAACGCAAGACCTGGACTCCAGCATTTTATGAGGCCACCAGGCAGAGTGCTGTTATCCGTGGGCTGGTACCTGGAAAGGCTTACTTCTTCAGAGTCGCAGCTGAAAATGTGGTTGGAATGGGCCCATTTGTGAAAACTGCTGCAGAAATAATCATCAGGGAAAAAATTTGTAAGTTATTCATTTATGGTTAAAGTAAAGCATAATTCTTTACAATACACCTGTAAAACAGTCCCAGTGTAACCTCAGTATCTTTGATTTATCTAAACTAGCTCCACCTGAGCGTCCTGAGGAGTTGGAAGTCACAGCTATCACAAAGGATTATATCAGCTTGGTTTGGAATCCACCAAAGTCCGATGGAGGCTCTGAAGTCACTATGTATATTCTGGAAGCTCGTTCAGTTGGAAAGGACAAGTTCATAAGACTCACAAAAGAAAAGCTGATGGGAAGGAAATTTACATATGATGGTCTCCGAGAGGGGGATTCCTATGAATTCCGGGTCAGTGCAGTGAATGAGGTTGGTCAGGGAAAGCCATCTTTCTGCACCAAAGCAATCACCTGCAGGGACCAGCTTGGTAAATAACCTCAAATCAATAATATACCAGCATAACAAAATCATTTAATTATATGTATTATATGTATCATTATATATAACAATGTGTAACAATTGCATTTCTGGCTAAGATTAACCTTTTGTTGTGTTTTTAGAACCCCCGTCGATTGAAGTTGATTTCCGTGACAAGCTAATTGTGCGTGTCGGGGAGTCCTTTGCTCTCCAGGGTCGCTACACTGGAAAACCAGCACCATCAGTCACATGGTTCCAAGATGACAAGGAGCTTAAAGCTGATAGCCACACCAAGCTAAAGAACACATTAACAACAATGTGTGTTTGTGTCATGAAGGCAAAGCGAGAGCACAGTGGCCGGTACTGCGTACGTGTGGAGAACAGTACAGGCTTACGCAAAGGGATCTGTAATGTGATAGTTGTTGGTAAATATTTTGTTTTGTATTTGCTATTTTTGTTTGCTTATTATTTATATGATAATATTATATGATTATTAATTTTATTATATAAATTTAATAAAGTATTATATAAATAATTCATCTATGTAACAGTAATCCTATTGTCCTTCACTTGACCTACAACCAAAAAAACCCTTATACTTTCAGATCGTCCACAACCTCCAGAAGGCCCAGTAGAGTTTGAGGAAGTTCACAGAGATCACATGGTGATTTCCTGGAAACCTCCTCTAGATAATGGTGGAAGTGAAATTTCAAATTATGTTGTTGAGAAGAAGGAAGCAAGTAGGGATATCTGGTTGTCCGTGACATCTGCAACCACAAAGACAACCTGCAAAGTTCCCAAACTGATCGAAGGCAAAGAATACATTATTAGAGTCTGTGCTGAGAACATGTATGGCATCAGTGATGCACTGGAGTCTGAAGAAATGAGGGCCAAAGACCGTTTCAGTATGTATAAGCTCCTTCAGGTGTCTAACAGTACAAATTGAAACTAGATTCTATATATGCGTAAAATATAAACTGGTTCACCTGATGTTTATCCATAGGAGTGCCCAGTGCACCTGAGCTTCCTGTTGTCCAGGAAGTTTTCAAGAACTCAGCACTTGTGATTTGGACTCGACCTCGAGATGGTGGCAAGCCCATAACAAACTACGTCTTGGAGAAGAAGGAGACCTCATCGAAAAGATGGTCACGTGCCACTCGAGACCCTATTTATCCAGACACTCAGTACAGGGTACAGGATCTCACAGAAGGCTGTGAATATGAATTTCGGGCCATGGCGGAAAATGAAATGGGGCTTGGTGACCCTAGTGAACCATCTAAACCTGTCATTGCCAAAGATCCAACTGGTGAGTATTGTGCTGTGGTAAGATGTGCACTTTTAATACAGTACTCTTAACTCATACTTTCTGACATCATTTTTACAGTCCTCCCAAGCCCTCCTGTCCTTCCTGAAGTTGTTGACAAGACTAAAGATTCAGTTAGTCTGTCCTGGCAACCACCTCGCCATGATGGCAAGGGAAAACTCTTTGGATATCTTATTGAGTATCAGAAGATCGGCGATGAAGAATGGACAAAGGCAAATGAGACTCCAGAATCATGCCCGGAAACAAAGTTCATAGTAACTAATCTTGTAGATGGACAGTTGTACAGATTCAGGGTCATGGTTGTAAATGCAGCAGGGAATTCTGAACCTGCATATGTCAAGGAAGATGTGAACGTGCAGGACAGATTGGGTAAATTCATAGCTTATTTGTTGCATTATTTGTTTTACTTCCATGTGTTTGTGCATTGAATGCTAATAGGTCATATTTAATTTCTTTCTAACAGAGCCTCCTGAGCTGCTGCTTGATGCCAACATGGCTCGTGATCATCTTGCTATGGTAGGAACAGACATTGTTCTCAGTGCCCGTATTAAGGGCATGCCAATCCCAAAAGTCACATGGAAGAAGAATGACGCAGAAGTCCCTGAACGAGCCAGCATTGAGACCACTGTTCATGGGAGCAAATTGCAGATGCTTAACTGCCAGCGCTCAGACTGTGGCAATTATACAATAACCATGGAAAATGCAGCTGGATCAAAGTCAGCCACGTGCACTGTGCTTGTGTTAGGTGTGTTAATCATGACTTAAGTATTGCAGTTGAAAATCTCTGACTTATCATTGACCTCAGATTAGAGAATTGTATTTTGTGTGTATGTGTATTTTTAAGTTTGTTCTTCTGTTTTTTTGCAAAGATAAACCTAGTCCACCCAGGAATCTGAACATCTCTGAAGTGACAAGCGAAACAGCCTATCTCAGCTGGCAAGAGCCGGAGGATGATGGAGGGGCTGTTATTTCTAACTATGTGGTGGAGAAGAGAGATGTGGCTTCTGACCAGTGGATCCCCGTCTGTGCCTCCTCCAAAAAGCGCACTTTAATGGCTCTGTACTTAGTAGAGGGCACCCAGTATATGTTCCGTGTCGCAGCTGAAAACCAATTTGGCAGGAGTGCATACCTTTCAGCAAAGAAACCCATTAAGGCTGTTGATCCTCTGTGTAAGTACTGTAATATTTGTTTTTATGGAGGGTAAATGTTCTAGTTTCTTATCATAACTTTTTTAACTGATCCTTTTTAGATCCACCTGGTCCACCAAAGAATTTGCATCATGTGGACGCAGAAAAAACTGAAGTCTGGCTTCAGTGGGACTGGCCAGACCGTACAGGTGGAAGTGATATCACAGGATTTTTAGTTGAGTACCAAGAGGAAGGCGCAAAAGACTGGATCACTCACAAAACTGTGACTAGAAATGAAACCCACATTACTGGACTTGAGGAAGGAAAGACTTACAGATTCCGTGTGAAAGCAGAAAATGCAATTGGCTTGAGCCGTCCTGATACCACAGTACCTATTGTCTGTGAGGGGAAACTAGGTAAGATATGTTTAGTTTTTTATTGTTAAAGAAATGGTTGTCATTGGCATTAAAACATAACATTTTTGTATCTGTATTTTTTCAGTGGCACCAACAATTGAAGTTGATGTGAAGCTAATTGAGGGTATTGTGCTAAAATCTGGCAGCACCATTACTCTTCCAGCCAAAATGAAAGGCATTCCTATCCCTATGGCAAAGTGGATGAGTGATGGAAAGGAGTTGCAGACAGGAGACAAGATTGACATTAAAACAGAGGATTCTTCAACCGTGCTCAGCATTAAAGAATGTACACGAATGGACTCTGGAGAGTATCTTCTTACAGTATCCAACTGTGCTGGAAGCAAGACAGTTCCTCTACATGTGACAGTCCTTGATGTACCATCAGCACCCACTGGTCCTGTTAACATTCTTGAGATTACCCCTGATCACATGGTCATAAACTGGCGCCCCCCTAAAGATGATGGTGGAACACCTTTGATGAGTTATATTGTTGAGAAGAAAGATTCCAAAAGGCCATGGGAGCCATGGGGTGTTATGAGTTCTGAAAGCATCAGCACCCAGGCTAAGATCCCACGTTTGCAGAAGGGTCGTGAATACATTGTACGCATTCGTGCAGAGAATAAGATTGGTATTGGAGCCCCTCTTGAAAGTCCACCAACCACGGCCAAACACATGTTTGATCCACCTAGTTCTCCAGGTCCACCAACGGCTTATGACATTACAGAAAATGCTATGACCCTAGAATGGGAAATTCCACTTTCTGATGGTGGTAGTCCAGTCAGTGGTTATATTGTTGAACGCAGGGAAATGACAGGAAAATGGATTCGTGTTAACAAAACACCTGTTTTGGATGTCAGATACAGAGTGTCTGGACTTTTTGAGGGCAACACATATGAATTCAGGGTATTTGCTGAAAACATTGCTGGCATCAGTGAACCTTCCCCAGTGTCAGATCCATTTAAAGCCACACGTCCAATTACCAAACCAGGACCTCCAAGCAATCTCAAACTCAAGGACTGGGGCAAATCCTATGCTGACATTGTTTGGACAAAACCTGCAAGAGATGGTGGCAGCCCTGTCTTGGGATATGTTGTTGAATGCCAGAAAGCTGGCACATCACAGTGGAATAAAATTAATAAGGATGAGCTTATTAAGCAGTGTACATTTAGAGTGCCAGGTTTAATTGAAGGAACAGAATACAGATTGCGAGTTAGGGCTACCAATAAGATTGGTGAAGGGGAACCAAAAGAATTAGCTGAAACGGTTCTTGCTAAAGATATCCTTGTTCCTCCAGAGATCATGGTTGATGCTTCCTGTCGTGACCATTTGACAGTCAGAGCTGGTCAGACTATTACTCTTGCTGCTCGTATTAAAGGGCGGCCTGATCCAGAAATTACCTGGACTAAAGATGCAAGGGTGCTAGGCAGAGATAAGCGCACTGAGATGAACAAAAACTTCCCTTTTGTTGATTTGGTTATTCGAGAAGCAACCAGAGCAGACTATGGAAAGTATGCAATTCAAGCGAAGAATGTCAGTGGTCAGGCACAGGCTACCATTATTGTGAACGTGCTTGACACACCAGGACAGTGTCGCAATCTCAAGACAACTTATGTGACAAAGGATTCCTGCATGGTGTCATGGGAGAATCCAGAAGACAATGGAGGCACAGAAATTACAAATTACATTATTGAAATCCGCCAACCAAGCCAAAGAACTTGGTCTGTGATCTCCAATGATTGTACGAAACGCCTTATTAAGGCACCACTTATGGAAAACTGTGAATATTTATTCCGTGTCAGTGCAGAAAACAAATGTGGTCCCGGACCAACAACTGAGACTAGGACAGCAATTATGGCAGTTGACCCAGTTGAAAAGCCTGGTGACCCAGAGAATTTGCATATTGCTGATATTGGGAAGACATTTGTCTTCCTTAAGTGGAAAAAACCTGATTATGATGGTGGCAGCCGTAACCTGAGCTATCATGTTGAGAGGAAACCAAAAGAGGCTGAGGAATGGGAAAGATTGCACAAGGGAGCAATCAAAGAGACATACTTCATGGCTGACAGGTGTATTGAAAACCAAATATACCAGTTCAGAGTGCAAACTAAGAATGAAGGAGGGGAAAGTAACTGGGTGAATATGGCAGAGATCCTTGTCAAAGAAGATGTAATAGAACTGCAAATTGATGTTAAATTAGAAGGTGTTCTTGCTGTAAAAGCTGGTGATTCAATTAAGATTGAAGCTGGGCTCAAAGGAAAACCCCAGCCTGAGGTTAAATGGCTTAAGGAAAATGATACAGGAGACATTAACAAGAATCCAAGACTTCATGTTGACACTGGTGTGGATTTCTCTAAATTCCTTATGACAAATGCAAAACGTGAAGACAGTGGAAAATACATAATTACTGCCACTAATGCTATTGGAAGCTGCTCTGCTCATGCTGTTTTGAATGTGCTGGACAAACCAGGTCCTGTCAGAAACCTGGAAGTATCTGGCATTTCAGTGGACCGTTGCAAACTGACGTGGGAACTTCCAGAAGATGATGGTGGTTGTGATATAATGAATTACATTCTAGAAAAATGTGAGACAAAGAGAATGGTTTGGTCAGTTCATTCAGCAGCGATCATTACCAATTCTGCCAGTGTAACGCGTCTTGTGGAAGGGAATAAGTACATCTTCAGGGTACGAGCTGAGAACAAGATGGGGGCTGGCCCTACAGTGGAGAGTGACGCTGTTGTGGCTAAGACTCAGTTCAGTAGACCTGGCCCGCCAGACCCACCTGAGGTCACTAGAGTTGCCAAGGAGGAAATGACTGTTTCATGGTGTCCTCCAGAGAATGATGGTGGGAAGACCATCACAGGTTACATCTTGGAGCGAAAAGAGCAGCATGCCATCCGATGGTCTCCAGTGACAAAGAGTCCTATCCCACAGACACACATGAATGTCACTAACTTGATTCCTAATCATGAATATCAGTTCCGTGTTAAGGCTGAAAATGAAATTGGATTGGGAGAACCTAGCAAGCCTTCAAGAGCTGTGATTGCCAAGGTTGCACTTGGTATGTTTGAATTCTATTCTTACACATAATGTCTGTGCTACTAATTGTTTGTGCACTCTAGTGATCAAGTATTGCGTATTAACTGTATGGCTAAACAGCTGGATCAACATAGGTTTCAGGTTCAGCTGCTTTGCATAATAAAAGGCTCAAGTCCTGCTAACTCCTTAACTAAGTGTATTATTGTATTTTGTTTTCTGTTTGTTTGTTCTGACAGAGCCTCCTGGTCCTCCAACCAATTTGAAAGTTATTGACAGCACAACAACCTCAATCACACTTAGGTGGGTGAAACCTGACTCTGATGGTGGAGCCCCTATAATTGGATATGTAGTTGAAATGAAACATAAATTGCTTAAAAAAGCAGAAGAAACCTGGAAAAGATGCAATGTAGCTGCTCAGCTGACCGTCACAGAATTCACTGTGACAAGCTTGGATGAACAAATGGAGTATGAATTTCGCGTCTCTGCTCAAAACCAAGTTGGCATGGGCAATCCTACTAGTCTCAAGGAAGCTGTGTCACCTCGGGAGATACTTGGTGAGATCCATTTCAACATGAAAACCATAGAAATTTTGTTATTGTTATTAAAGTCATTGTTCAGCCTGGAATATTTATATGAACCTTTCTCTAGCAGTAAAGAGTCATTTATCTTTGTCACCAACAGTTACACCTGAGATTGACTTGGATGCCAACTTGAGAAAGGGTATCACTGTCAGAGCTGGCTGTCCCATCCGGCTTTTTGCCACAGTAAGGGGAAGACCTGCCCCCAAAGTGACCTGGAGAAGAATGGGTATTGACAATGTGGTCAGAAGAGCTCGTGTAGATCTAATCGACACCATGACCTTTATGGTTATTGCTGACAGCACACGTGATGATTCTGGCAAATATTCTTTGACGCTCACAAGTCCAGCTGGGGAGAAGGCTGTGTTTGTGAATGTCAAAGTACTGGGTGAGTCTTGACATGCTACACCATTTCATTCTTAATTTGACGTAAGTTCACTGTACAATATTATGTGTTATCCTTTTTTTAATTAATAGATACTCCAGGCCCTGTACTGGGTTTGGATGCTGTGGATGTCACAATGACATCCTGTGAGCTCACCTGGTCCCCACCTGAGTGTGACGGTGGCAGTGAGGTTACACACTATATAGTTGAAAAGCGTGAAATTGACAGAAAGACCTGGGGAACAATTAAAAATGATGTGAAGAAGACCAGCATGAAAATCAGCAACCTTATTGCAGGCACAGAATATTATTTCAGAGTTATAGCCGTCAACGAGTATGGTGATGGTGTACCCTGTGTTACACCAAGGTCTTACCTGGCATCTGACCCTATCAGTAAGTGCATATGTTTCATCAAGTGTATTTATTATTTAGTGGTAATTAACCAAATGTTTTCTAAAAATGGTGAATTACTTTGTAGGTAAGCCTGACCCACCAATGAAAATGGATGTACTGGAAATATCAAAGACCAGTGCAACATTAGGGTGGGTGAAACCACTCAGGGACGGAGGATCTAAGATCGATGGTTATGTAGTTGATTACCATGTGGTAGTTCCACCAAAGGAGCCTGTGGAAGGTGAACCTGTAGTGAAAAAGGAAGAGAAACCTGCAGTTGAATGGACACCATATTCTGTGGTCAAAGATTTAACCATTGTTATTGTTGGACTTAAAGAGGGCAAGAAGTACAGGTTCAGAGTGGCAGCGAGGAATGCAGTGGGTTGTAGTTTGCCTACAGAAACCAAGGAAGAGTTTGAAATGAAGGAACAAATGTGTAAGATCCCCTTTTTTGCATATCATATATATTTTATGTTTTTTTTCAGTTTGTAGCACAATTGCAGAAAATGCTAAATCTCACTTCCACGCTTCCTTTATATCATTCAGTGCCACCAACAATTATTATGCCTGATGCTATGACGGCAAAAGCAGGAGAAAGACTCAGAGTGGAGGCTCTGGTATCTGGGAAGCCAGCACCAGTCTGCAAGTGGAAGCGGGGAGACAGTGATGTGGTTCCGTCTAGCCGCCTTGCTGTGCACAAATCTCACAATTGTTGTGTGCTCATCATCAAAGATGTCTCGAGGCAGGACACTGGCGAGTATAGTCTTCTGGCTGAAAACAGCACAGACAGAATTGAGCACATGCTGAAATTGACCATCAAGGGTAAGTTTTGTTTGGTTTTTTTTAAATACAGGTAATGAGATTGGTGGAGATACAGTATATTAAGGTGTTGATTCCAGGGTGTCTTGCCTTATGCTGGTGATAGCAGTGCACTGATAATGTTTGGACGGACAAGGATAATAACATGAAAATTATCTGTGTTACAGATATCCCTGGTCCACCACAGCCACCATTCAAGATCAGTGACATAGATGCTGATGCCTGCACACTGTCTTGGAGTCCACCACTCGAGGATGGTGCAAGTAACATCACAAATTACGTGGTGGAAAAGTGTGATGTCAGTCGAGGTGACTGGGTCTCTGCCGTTTCGTCCTGTGGCAAGATCGGCTGCCGAATTGGGAAGCTTGTACCAGGAAGGGAGTACATGTTTCGTGTCCGAGCTGAGAACCGCTTTGGCATTTCAGACTCTATCACATCTGAAAGAATGGTTGCTAAATTCCCCTTTGGTGAGTTAAAAAATCAATGCATAAATGAGAAAAAAAGACGTCTTGTGGCATACAGTAGGAAAGTTAATTTCTTAAATATTTTCTGTCACAGATGTGCCAGGTGAATCCTTGAACTGTCGCATTAACAAAGTCAACAAAGACTGCATGTTTGTGGCCTGGGACAGACCAGAAAGTGATGGTGGCAGTCCCATTACTGGCTACTACATTGAACGCAAAGAGAGGAACAGCCTTCTGTGGGTGAAGGCCAATGACACAGTGGTTCGTACTACAGAATATCCCTGTGCTGGCCTGATTGAAGGCTTGGAGTACACCTTCAGGGTGTCTGCCATAAACCGCGCTGGACAGGGTAAACCAAGCAAAAAAACAGAATTTGTTACAGCAAGAACACCAGTGGGTATGTAACAGTATTTTTTTTCACTGTAACACCATTCTGCATTCATCACGGCATACAACAACATAATGTATCCTCTGCATTTAACCCATATCTGATATAGCAGGGGGCAGCTAATTCAGCACCCAGGAAGCAGTGCTTAGAGGCAGTACCTTGCTCGGGGTTCTTCAGTGGTATGTTGCTGGCTAGGGATTGAAACGAGCAATCTTTCGGTAACAAGTGCACTTCCATAACCATTAGGCCACCACTGGCCTAAAGGTGCACTTGGCTATTACCAGGTTGGACCCATTTTATTAGGTAGACCTGGCTAACACCAGGATGGCCCCTTCTATAAGGTATACCTGGATAGTACCAGGTAGGACTCACTTTTTCCTCCAGAACTGCAGTTAGGTATTTCTGCACACCACTGTTGCACTGAACTGTTAATTTTGCACTTGTGGCCTTCATGTTATCCTTAACAAGCCATTCTTCCCTGACCATCTGAGATGCTGGAACATCCGCATCCTGTACCAATAATTATGCCATGTTGAAAAACACTTCGATCATGCATCTTAGCCAGTCTGATGCTTAGCCAAACATGTAAGGTGCTGTATGGCCATCTGCTTCAGGGGGCGCTATCCTGGAGCACATTTAGCCACTGGCTCATACCACCATGGTGGTTTAAAAAACACTACTGGGAATCATTCCAGCCTGCTACCATCAAACACCGCAACACCTCTTCCTGACATGCCACTTCACACTCACAGACATAACACATCATGAAGCCCCTTGTCTTGTTAATATACAATGTGATGCTTTCTATTGTAACTGCAAATAATTTATTTCCACATAATTACTATTCTTATCTTTAAATGTTTATTTTTATTTCCACATACTGTTTTATCAGAATATTTCATTTATTTGTGTACTGTGTAATTTGAAATATGTTTGCACTATGTGTACTGTGATTGTACACTAGGGTGGTCCAAAATTAACAACTTCACACAGCTTTCCCTCCACAACCATAATTTTATTCTTCCCCTTATTACAAATGTGTCTGCCAAATTTTATTATGATTGGTCATTATTTAGAGGTCGCTCAAGCTGGTAGTAATGCAACACTGCAACAGCTATATTGTATTGTGTAATTGTATGCAATAAAACAAGGAAAACATGCAGTAAACAGAATTAGAATTTCCATGAGTGAAAAAGAACAGAAGAAACATGTCAAATTAGCTGATACTATCTTGGATTCAGGTTGTCTGGACTCTTACTGTTATATATTGTCCCATAACGTTCTAATGTTCTTTATCATCAGTGTCGCACTGTTGCTGTCCTGACTCCGTTTTCAGAAGGGTAGACTTGGCGCAGGTTGGATATTTCTTTCTGTGTCTTTCAACCAAACGTAGGAGATACTGCTTCTGCTCCTCGTTCTTGGTCAGGGATCAATGCAATGGCTGCATCAATGCAATGGCGCTCTCTGCACAATCATTCACGACCTTCATTTTTGACGCTGCTGTTTGAAGTTCCTGGTACGAAGGGTTGTCATTCCATTCTCTTGGGTCTTTAGCCAAGAAATTTTGCGCCTTCATCTTCCCATTTAATGACAGTACATCAAAGATTGCAGCAGTCCTTTGTGTTACACAACTCGCTAAACCATTGGCTGACAATGGCTCGGGTGGACTGTCAAGACGTTTCGCGGACTCATCGGACACCGGAATTTGGAGGTTTGCCACCATCTGTGTTCTCACATCTGCCCCAATTCTGTCATCGAAGAAAGACAGCCCAACGAGAATCTCTGAGAAGTACCAAAGGTGTCGACTAAATGTATCTCTGGCAGCCTTCGCAATTGTTTTGTTTGGATAAGTCATAAGCGACTCCAGAAGCTGCATGTCATTCAGTGGTGCCTGTCTAGCAAGGGGAGCTTCATGCCAAAACCGGACATAGACAAGGCTCATGAAAATGGCTAGCTCCTTCACACTGTTTTTCTCTTTTCTAGTCAAAGTGAACTGATGCTGGAACAAGAACAACTTGAGACTGTAGATTGCTTTTGCCATCCATCGTGCTGTATCCGCATCGCATCCATCTGTACCCTTTCCTAGCAGCCAAACTTCAGCACTGCTTCTAGTTTGTGCCATTACTGTCCTAAAGTGTCTTAAAATAACTCACAGCCACTGATGAAAACTTCAGATTTAGCAAAGATCAGTAAATAATCACTATTCACTATACTGTGACGAAGTTTTAACTCAATAGTACAATTTGCATGTTTTTGCGCAATACCAAATAAACAATTTCAAACCTGGCTGATAGTTAGTATGAAAACACAACAATGAATAGCTATTTAATTACGAATGGTGTTTCTAATCACCAGTTTTACCCAATGAGCTTGCAATTAAAGAGATGATAATTTTTTCATTTGATTTTACCATGGAATTTTGGCAAATTGTCTTAAAGAGATGATAATTTTTTCATTTGATTTTACCCTGGAATTTTGGCAAATTGTCTTAATCTGAGTCCACAACAAACTTGTGGGACCTTGAGCGACCTAAAAAATGTAGTTCAATTTGCTCCATATTTACATCATATCTTTACTACATCTGATAGAACATATTTAAACTTGTGGAGGTGGGTTTTAATGAAATTCAAAATTTTCCATAGTGCCGTGGACCGCCCTATTGTACACTGTCTCTTTAGCACTATGTGTACTGTATGCTGCAATATAATTATATATAAACAAGCACAACGTTTTATTGAAAATATGAGCCTTCTTTTGCAGATTCCCCTGGAAAACCTGAGGTGCTTGATGTAACTAAGAATTCAGTGACTTTGGTCTGGGCCCGGCCGAAGCATGATGGGGGCAGCAAGATCATCGGGTATTATGTTGAAGCCCTGAGGATTCCTGATGACAAATGGATCCGCTGTAACATCAGCAGCCAGAACGTGCCCAGGGAAGAGTATATCGCAACTGGTCTAGAAGAGGAATGCCAGTACCAATTCCGAATCATTGCCAAGACTGCAGTAAACCTCAGCAGACCTTCCGAAGTGTCTGATACTGTCCTTGTCTCTGCAGAAAATGGTATGGTAGTAAACACTATCAAATCATATTTTAGGTTGCATATTCATATTAGGAATATTAATTCATTTTCATCTTCAATTCAGTCCCACCAAGAATTGAAATTGGACTTCAAATGAAGAAGATGCTCCCTGTGAAAGCTGGATCAAATGTCTGCCTGGAGGCTGAAGTTTTTGGAAAACCGATGCCAAAGGTTACTTGGAAGAGGAATGGGGAGGTATTGAAAGCTGCTGAAGGTGTGGAGATGAAACAGAAACGATACCTTTTCCAGCTGGAAATGCTATCGGTGACAAAAAAACACACTGGAGAGTATACTGTTCTAGCAGAAAATGCAAGTGGTTCTAAAACAAATGAAATTAGCCTGACAATTCTGGGTAAGAAAAAATGCATATAGAATAATTCATCAGCTTTAATTTTGTATTGAGTGAAAATATATACTTTTCTTTTTAAATTTGCCATTTTTTAGATATACCTGGCCCACCAGCTTCAATCAAGTTTGGAGAAGTGGGTTCTGATCGTGCCCAGCTAATTTGGGAGCCACCAAAGGCAGATGGTGGTTGTCCAGTCACAAACTACATAATTGACAAACGTGACACCAGTAGAGCTGAGTGGGCACAGGTTACAGCCAAAGTTGACAGCAAGTTCACTGACTTCTTGGTGGAAAGGCTGATTGAGGGTCGCGAGTATCAGTTCCGCATCCGTGCTGAGAACAAGTGTGGGACTGGTGAAGGAATCCTGAGCAACACTACTGTGGCTAAGAATCCATTCAGTAAAATACTTTCTTACATTACTACTCTGATATACCCCAAAGTTTTTGTGCTTCTAGCAAAGTTTGACTGTAAATCTCTTCATCAACAGATGTTCCTGAACCTTGTGAGCCACCTATTATTACTAATATCACAAAGGATAACATGACAGTCAGTTGGAAAGAACCAGCCAGTGATGGCGGCTCCACCATACTCGGATATGTTGTTGAGAAGCGGGTGACCAAGGATATCAAATGGACAAAACTCAACAAAAAGGCAGTAGCAGAGAGAACAATAAAAGCAAGTGATCTTTCAGAAGGGGCTGAGTATGAGTTCAGAGTCATTGTTGTCAACAAAGCTGGTTTAAGCAAACCAAGTGACCCATCAAATGCTGCCCTTGCTCATGAGCCATTACGTAAGTATTAAAAGCAGTTATCTCCCAATTGTTTTGCAAGCAATCAACTTGAAACTCAGCCTTATATTTATATCTGCCATTGTAGATCCTCCAGGACCACCAGTATCACCAAAGGTTGTTGATACAACAAACAGCACAATTATCCTGACCTGGACCAAACCTTCCCATGATGGTGGATGCAACATTTTGGGCTACCTAGTTGAGTTTAAGCGAGCAGACAGTGGTGACTGGATAAGGTGCAACGTACCCAAGAATCTCCAGGAGACAAAGTACACTATAACTGGGCTGCTTGAAAATACAGAATACAAGGTCCGGGTGACAGCTGTGAATAAAGCTGGGTTTGGTGAACCAAGTGAAGTTCCAGGAACACATCTGGCAAAGGAAGTTTTAAGTATGTTGTTACTAAGTCTGTATGAATGCAACACAGGGCGTTATTATAATGCCATGTTACAAAAGAAAGCCTATGTTTAAATGCATCATAATCATTTTTTGGGGAAAATACCTTTTATTATCCTTTCAAATTTGTTTTATTCTTCTGGAAGATTTCTAAGTGATTTAGGTTTTCTCTTATTAGCTAAACATGCTATTAGCTAAATCGCACCTCTCAAGAGAGAGGTACCCCTGGGAAGAAAGAAATCCTCATCCCCTCCCCCAAAAACATAATCCATGATTTGCATGTTAACCTGCTTCATAAAATTTATACAATTTGCAGTTGCTCCTGAAGCAGATCTTGATGAAGAGCTGAAGAAAACACTGGAGCTGCGTGCTGGGATGCCTATGAGATTTCACATTCCTCTGAGAGGCCGCCCCGCTCCCAAAGTGACCTGGGCTAAAATGAACACCAATATTAAGAACAGACAGGGAATCGTAATCAGGACGACTGACATAGACACCCTGGTGTATGTTGAAAAAGTGAACAGATATGATGCTGGAAAATATGTTTTGAATCTGGAGAGTACAACTGGGATGAAAATGTACACAATCACTGTCAAGGTTTTTGGTAAGTTTTTCTTTCCTTAATTTTCTAAACAATCAATTGCAATGCTCTTCTTTAAGCCTACCAATTATATTTCTTGTACAGATACCCCTGGACCACCTATTAATTTGATGGTGAAAGAGACCTCTAAAGACAGTGCATCCATTTCCTGGGATACTCCTCTAATTGATGGTGGAAGCCCAGTGAAGAATTACATTGTTGAAAAGCACGACATAGAGAGAAAGTCATGGTCCAGAGTTTCAGCTGAGTGTGCAAAAACATCATTCCTGATTCAAGACTTGGACCCCGGAAGATCCTATTGTTTCAGAGTCTTCGCTGAAAACGAATTTGGCATTGGAGAGCCATGTGAGACTGGTGATGCAGTGCGAGCCTCAGGTAAGTATGACACATTTGGCCTGTTGCTCAATAATATAGCAATTGTAAATTTTGATTAATTTATATGAAACTTACTTTGGGCCACAAATTCACTTTCAGAGCAACCTGGACCAGTTAAAGACTTTAAAGCATTGCTGGTTACCAAGGATTCATGCACACTTGCTTGGAAGAAACCAATTAGTGATGGTGGAAGTAGGATCATGGCATACATCTTGGAGGTCAAGAATGGTGATGATAGGTGGAAGGTGCTGATGAGGTCAAAAAACATGCAGTATAGTGCCAAAGACCTCGTAGAAGGAAGGGAATATTTATACAGAGTAAAGGCATTGAATGATTCTGGAGAGGGTGCAATAAAGGAGCTTAACATTGTGGCTAAAGATGTCATTGGTGAGTTTTTCTTAAGAATGAAATATTGCAGATATGCACATTTAACTGTGTTGTCTTCAACAGATGAAAATCTACTATTTTTTTCTTGTAGTTCCACCTGGATGTGACTTAAGAGAGCTGCCAAACTTAAACTACATTGCAAAAGAGGGCAGTACTGTACGGCTCAAAATACCAATCATAGGGAAACCGGTCCCTACTGTTTCCTGGAAGAAGGGAGATGACACTACCTTGACCGACATGGGTCGTGTGTGTGTCGAGTCCACTCCTGTCAACACGACCCTGTTCATCCGCGACTGTCAAAGAGGCGATGCCTCTAAGTATACCATCACTTTAAGAAACAGTGCCGGCACCAAAGAGTCCAACATCTTTGTTAGGGTTGTTGGAAAGCCCGGAATGCCAGCCGGACCCATCAAGTTTAAAGAAGTCACTGCTGATGGTGCCACATTGAAATGGGGTGCACCAAAGGATGATGGTGGATCAGAAATAACCAACTATATTCTTGAGAAGCGGGATTCTGTAACTAACATGTGGGTTACAGTCGCTTCAAATGTGGACACAAACATTTTTAGAGTGACAGATCTTCATGAAGGAACTGAATATATATTCCGAATTAAAGCTGAAAATAAGTACGGGATTGGGGAAGGCTTAAAATCTGATGAAGTTGTGGCTAAGCATCCATTCAGTAAGTGACTTTATTTTAATTGTATTGTTATGTTTTTGATTATTATATTGCACTTCAAAGGAGAAAACACTTAGGAATAATGGGTAATTTTTGTTAACAGATGTACCTGATGCGCCACCCGCACCTCAAGTCATCAGCATGTGGCACGATTCTGCAGTTCTTGCTTGGTCTGATCCAAGGAAAACTGGAGGCTCCCCAATCACTGGTAATCTCATATTTACCTTTTTTATTAACAAAATTTTGTCATGACTATGAATGAAAACTATGACCTTTTTATACATCCAGGTTATCATGTGGAATTCAAAGAAAGAAACAGCTTGCTGTGGAAGAGAGCCAACCCAGTAGCCTTGAAAATGAAGGAATTTAGAGCAGTTGGCCTAACGGAAGGCCTTGAATATGAGTTTAGAGTCATGGCAATAAACTTAGCTGGTGTTGGTAAACCTAGTGCATCAACTGAGCCTTTTGTTGCCTTGGATCCAATTGGTAAGTGCTAAAAATACAGTTTAATTCTGTTTTCCTGCATAAGTAATGTGAACTTAACTATAATTTATATTAATTGTTTTTAGATTACCCAGGTAAACCTGAAGTGATTAGTGTAACGAAGAATACCGTAACACTACAGTGGACTGAACCAAAGTATGATGGTGGACACAAACTGACAGGCTATGTTGTTGAGAAGCGTGACCTGCCGGCTAAGGTCTGGATCAAGGCCAACAATGTAAATGTTGTGGACTGTGCATTCACAGTGACAGATCTACAAGAGGGCTGCAAGTATGAATTCAGAATAAGGGTAAAGAACGCGGCTGGGGCCATCAGTCCTCCTTCAGAACAAACTGACACTATTATGTGCAAAGATGAGTATGGTGAGAACTCTTAATTTTTTTGTATGGTTTGTGAAGCATTAAATGGCACCACATAAGCAATTTTCTCATTTCCTTCTCATTAACAGAGGCACCAGCTATCATTATTGATTCCACTGTGAAGGAGGGGCTTAAGGTCAGGGCTGGTGATACAATTGTTATCACTGCCACAAGCATCTCAGGAAAACCAGCACCAAAGTCTGTGTGGTCCAAAGCGGGTAAAGACTTTAAACCATCAGATATTTGCCAGATTGAAATGACGCCGACATCTTCTACACTGACAATCAAGTATGCCAGCAAGAAGGATTCAGGAGAATACACAATCTCTGCCAGCAATCCATTTGGGGTCAAGGAGGAGAATGTTAAAGTGCAGGTGCTGGATGTGCCTGGACCTACCGGCCCCCTTGAAGCCAGCAGTGTGTCTGCGGAAAAAGTGACTCTGACATGGACAGCTCCTCATCAAGATGGGGGATCGCCAATTAAATCCTACATTCTAGAGAAGAGGGAGACAAGTCGCCTTCTTTGGACAACTTTGGCTGAGAACATCACAGATTGCCATTTTATTACTAGCAAGCTCATCCAAAGCAATGAATATGTCTTCCGTGTTTCAGCTATAAATCAATATGGTGCTGGTGAAGCAACACTTTCTGAGCCGGTGAAAATGGTGGATAGTTTTGGTATGTTGATGTAAACTTTCTAACAGTTTATTATACATGACATTATTATTATTATTATCATATTTATTATTATTACGCAATATTTTAGGCAGAACTTATTGTGTATGAATGTTTGTTTTTTTTTTTTTTTTTTTACTAATTTTTTACTTTTTTATAATTGCAGGCCCACCGGGTCCTCCATCAAAACCTGAAACTGAGAATGTGACGAATAACTCTGTCACCATTACATGGAAGAGACCTGCTGAAGATGGAGGAAGTGATATTATAGGCTACAGTGCTGAAAAAAAAGAAAGAAAAGGGGCACGATGGGTCAGGGCCTCAAAGAAGTTGATTTCAGAGCTTTATTACAGTGTGCCAGGCCTCACCGAGGGAGTTGAGTATGAATTCCGAGTGACTGCAGAGAACAAAGCTGGCCTTGGCCTTCCCAGTGAGGCGTCTCAGCCTGTCAAGACAAAGAATGTGACATGTGAGTACTAATGTTACTTATGTCATTCATTTTACAGAGCTCATACTTATTCTACTTGAAAACTACTTGTAACCTGAATATTTCAAGATAAAATAAAAATCTATGTCCAGAAACATACATCTATCATTTCTTATTCCATATCACATATCCTATTTTCCAGATGTACCTGGGCCTCCAGTGAACCCTAGAATTACAGATACAACCAAATCCACAGCTACATTCAACTGGGGAAAACCCCAGTACGATGGGGGGCTTGAAATTACTGGATATATAGTTGAACACAAAAAAGAAGGAGAAGAAGAGTGGGTTAAGGATAAGTCAGCTACACCACTGAGAATTACTGAATTTGTTATTGCCAATCTTCAGCCAGGAGGAAAATACTATTTTAGAGTGAGTGCAATGAATGCAGAAGGATTTGGTGAAGCAGCTCAGACTGAAGATCTTATTGAACTTGTGGATCGTATGGAAACACCTGAATTTGAACTTGATGCTGAACTCAGAAGGACCCTTGTTGTAAAGGCTGGAAACTCCATACGTATATTTGTGCCCATCAAAGGTCGCCCACCTCCTGAAGTCACATGGATGAAAGAGGATATACCACTTAAAGGCAGAGCGCATATTGACACCACAGAATCATATACTCTACTGGTTATCCCGGATTGCACTAGACGTGATGCTGGAAAGTATTTCTTTACATTAGAGAATGGTGCTGGAAAGAATACTGGATATGTCAATGTAAGAGTTTTGGACACACCTGGGCCTCCCCTTAATTTGAAACCCATGGAGATTAATAAAGAAAGTGTCACTCTACAATGGGAAATCCCCGTCATTGATGGGGGGTCAAAGATCACCAACTACATCATTGAGAAACGTGAGGCAACCCGGAAAGCATATGCTGCTGTCATCACACATTGTGCAAAATGTTCTGTTAGAATCCCTAATTTGGCAGAAGGATCTGAATATTATTTCAGAGTAAGAGCAGAAAATGACTTTGGCATTGGTGAGCCTGTTGAAATGCCGGATCCAGTCCGAGCTTCACAAGCACCCACTCGTCCGGAAAAAGTCAACATTGCAGATATCACTAAGAATTCTGTAAGTCTGGTGTGGACAAAGCCAAAGCATGATGGTGGCAACAGAATTACTGGCTATGTCATTGAAGCTCAAAAGAAAGGTTCAGATCAGTGGTCTCATGTGACTGCTGTAAAAACTTTAGACTATGTAGTGAAAAATCTAAATGAAAATGAGGAGTATACATTCAGAGTCATGGCTGTTAACAACTCTGGTAGAAGTGATCCCTGTAACAGCAGGCCAGTTGTGGTTAAGGAACAGAACACAGAACCTGAATTTGACCTACATGGAATCTGCCATAGGTCAGTGATTGCCAAGGCAGGAGATGATATAAAGGTTGAGATTCCTGTTTTTGGTCATCCAAAACCAAGCATTTCTTGGAAAAAAGATGATCAGACCCTCAAACTGACTCCGAGAGTAAACACTGAAGATACTCCAGTTTCGACTATCCTTAGTATTGGTGAATGTACAAGAAGTGACAGTGGACAATACTCCATTACAGGAAAAAATATGCTTGGGACAGTGACAGAAATCTTTACAGTTAAAGTGCATGATATTCCAGGACCTCCGAAGGGGCCAATTAAGTTAGACAAAATAACCCGTACCTATATTGTAATATCATGGGATTCCCCTGAAAATGATGGAGGGGTACCAATTAACAATTACATTGTTGAATTGCGTGAAACCACAAGCACAACATGGCTAGAGCTCTCTTCAACAGTGATTCGCACAACATTTAAAGCTGACTGTCTCACTACAGGGCTTGAGTATCAGTTCCGTGTTAAAGCCAAAAACAGATATGGTGTTGGACCACCGATCACCTCAGAATCTGTGGTTGCTGCTTATCCATTCAAAGTCCCTGGACCACCAGGAACTCCACATGTGGTGTCCTTTACCAGGGACTCTATAACAGTTGGGTGGAATGAGCCAGTTAATGATGGAGGAAATGAAGTCATTGGATACCATGTTGAAAGAAAAGAAAGGAGTGCTGTAACATGGCAAAGGATCAGCAAAGCCTTAGTGGTAGGAAATATGTTCAAATCCATAGGACTGGAAGATGGAATTGCTTATGAATTTCGTGTTGCTGCTGAAAACCAGGCTGGTGTGGGAAAACCGAGTAAGCCATCTGAGCCCATGCTTGCCCTTGATCCTGTGGACCCACCTGGCCAGCCGGTAGCGATTGACATTACTAAATGGTCAGTGACTATTCAGTGGACAAAGCCTGAGTATGATGGTGGATTCAAGATAACTGGGTACACTGTGGAAAAGAAAGACTTGCCAAACGGACGCTGGGTTAAGGCTAATTTTAGCAACATTGTTGAGACAGTTTTCACTATAAGTGGTCTTACAGAAAATGCCTCCTATGAGTTCCGTGTTTCTGCCAGAAATTCAGCTGGTGCAGTGAGTGAGCCATCTGAGCCATCAGATCCCATCACATGCAAAGATGATATTGAAGAGCCAAGAGTAATGGTTGATGCTAAGTTCAAAGATGTCATACTTGTGAAAGCAGGTGATGTCTTTAAGCTTGAGGCTGATGTAGCAGGTCAGCCATTGCCATCTATTGTTTGGACAAAGGATGGAAAAGAAGTTGAAAATACAATGAAACTACAAATCAAAACATCAGACCTCACAGCAGCCTTAATTAACAAAGATTCATTAAGAAGGGATGGTGGTATGTTCACATTAACTGCTAGCAACCTTGGAGGTTTTGCTAAACATATCTTTAATGTAAAAGTTCTTGATAGACCAGGTCCTCCACGAGGGCCACTTGCTGTAACAGACCTCACTGCTGAAAATTGTGTCCTAACATGGTCACCACCATCAGATGATGGTGGAGCAAATATTAATCATTATGTAGTTGAAAAGCGAGAAACAAGTAGACTTGCTTGGACAAATGTAGCATCAGAGTTACAAGTCAATCAGTTCATGGTAACTAAGTTACTAAAAGGAAACGAGTATATTTTCAGAGTTATGGCTGTTAATAAGTTTGGAATTGGTGAGCCACTTGAATCTGATCCTACTGTTGCAGTCAATCCATATGTAACTTCTGATCCTCCACCAACTCCTGAGGTAACAACCATCACCAAGGATTCAATGATTGTTTTCTGGGATCATCCCAAGAACAATGGAGGAAGCAATATTTTTAATTATATTATTGAAAGAAGAGATAGGACAAGTCTCCAGTGGGTTAGATGCAATAAGAAGGATGTAACAGATGTGAATTTCAAAGTAACAGGACTTTTAGTGGGACATGAATATGAATTCAGAATCAGTGCTGAAAATGCTGCTGGTTTAAGTGTGCCAAGCCCATCAAGTCCATTCTACAAGGCCAGTGATACCATTTTCAAGCCAGGAGCTCCTGGAAATCCAAGGATTTTGGACACAACTAAGTCATCTATCACTCTTGCTTGGAATAAGCCAGTGTATGATGGTGGATCTGATATATTGGGATATATTGTTGAGACTAGCCTTCCAGATGAAGATGAATGGACAGTTGTCACACCAAAGGATGGTCTGAAAGGCACATCATTCACAATCATCAACTTGAAGGAAAATCAAGAGTACAAAATAAATATCTCAGGTTTTAACTGTGAGGGCGTTGGAGAGGTTGCCAGTGTTCCTGAATTAACAAAGGCTGAGGACAAATTAATTCATCCAGAAATTAGTCTTGATGCAGAATTTCGTAAGGTTATTAACATCAGAGCATGTAACACTTTAAGGCTGTTTGTACCTATAAGAGGGAGGCCTGATCCAACAGTGAAATGGTCCAGAGAAAATGATGAGCCCATTGGAAGGGCAACCATTGAGAGCACATCATCATTTACATCAGTAATAATTGAAAATGTCAATCGTTTTGATAGTGGAAAGTACATTTTGACTGTAGAAAATAGTGCAGGCAGCCAAACTGCTTTTGTGAATGTCAGAGTGCTGGACACCCCGGGAGCACCACAAAACCTCAAGATCATAGCAGTTACCAAAGAATCAGTCTCACTTACTTGGGAGCCCCCTCTTAATGATGGTGGTACAAAGATTAAAAATTATGTAATAGAAAAACGTGAATCCACAAGGAAAGCATATGCAACTGTTAATGCTAACTGCCACAAAACACGCTGGACTGTTGATCAGTTGCAGGAAGGCTGTAACTATTACTTTAGAGTTATAGCAGAAAATGAATATGGCATTGGCCTTCCTGTTGAAACTACTGAATCTGTGAAAGTGTCTGAAAAGCCACTTCCTCCTGGTAAGATCATTCTTCAAGATGTCACAAAGAATAGTGTTACACTAACATGGGAAAAGCCAGAGCATGATGGAGGAAGCAGAATAGTTGCCTATGTCATTGAGATGCAGAGCAAAGGAAATGACACCTGGATGCAATCTATGATTGTGAAAGTCCCTGAAGCTGTTGTTACTGGATTGACTCAAGGTCAAGAATATATGTTCCGTGTATCAGCAAGGAATGAGAAAGGAACAAGTGAGCCACGTCAGATTGGGGTACCAGTGATAATAAAAGAACTTGTAATTGTTCCAGCAGTTAAATTACTATTCTCCACATTCAGTGTTCTGGCAGGAGAAGACTTGACAGTAAACATACCCTATGCCGCTCGCCCCAAAGCAACTGTATCCTGGCAAAAAGATGGTACTCCACTCAAGCAAACCTCAAGAGTAAAGTTTGAAACTACATCTGATCAATTGTGTCTTGTTGTTAAGGAAGCTTGCAGAGATGATGTTGGCCAGTATTCCATCAAACTTTCAAACAATGCTGGTGAAACAACAGCAGACATTGCTATCGTCGTTCTTGACAAACCTGGTCCACCAAGAGGACCAGTACAAGTGGATGAAGTCACTTCTGACAGTGTCACATTTTCTTGGAAACCTCCAGAATATGATGGTGGTTGCACGATCAAGAACTATATTGTGGAAAAGAGGGAAACCTCTAGTACAAATTGGCAGATTGTAGCTCAAAACCTAGCTAGAACAACAATTAAGGCAGGACGGTTGAAAACTGACACTGAATACCAGTTCAGGATTACAGCTGAGAACAGATATGGCAAAAGTACAATTCTACTATCGCCATCTGTGGTTGCTCAATATCCGTTCAAACTTCCAGGCCCACCAGGAACACCATCTGTGCACATTTCAACCAGAGATAGTATGGTTGTTGTTTGGAATGAGCCTGTCATTGATGGAGGGACCTCTGTATTGGGATACCATCTTGAACGTAAAGAAAGAAAAAGTGTTCTTTGGGTGAAGCTAAACAAGACAATTATTCAAGATACAACATTCAAATCAATTGGTCTAGAAGAAGGGATGGAATATGAATATAGAGTCTATGCTGAAAATATTATGGGCATTGGCAAACCCAGCAAACTATCACAATGCTATGTTGCCAGAGATCCTTGTGATCCTCCTGGTACTCCTGAAGCTATTGCTATCACAAACAATTCAATTACATTAAGATGGACAAAACCAGAGTATGATGGTGGTAGCAAAGTCACTGGTTATATTGTTGAGAAGAAGGATTTACCTGATGGTCGTTGGATGAAGGCTAACTTCACTAATGTTATTGAGACTGAATATCTGACAACTGGTTTAGTTGAGGATCACAAATATGAGTTCCGTGTCATTGCAAGAAATGCAGCAGGTGTTTTTAGTGATCCTTCCTACAGCACTGGCCCAATCACTGCCAAAGATGAAGTTGATCCTCCTCGCATTAGTATAGATCCACAGTATACTCAAACTCTTTTTGTAAATGCTGGGGACAACTTCAAAATTGATGCTGATGTTCATGGGAAACCAATACCCACAATATATTGGATGAAAGGAAAACAAGAACTTACTAATACCTTATACCGAGAAATAAGAAACACAGACCACACTACATGTCTGAGTGTAAAAGAAGCTAGACGTGTTGATGGAGGTGAATACACTTTACTTCTAAAAAATATTGGAGGAGAGAAGTCGGTTTGTATCACTGTCAAAGTCTTAGACAAACCTGGTCCACCTGGTGGCCCCATTTCTGTAAGTGGTGTTTCAAGTGACCAGTGCACAATAACTTGGAGACCACCACAGGAAGATGGTGGCAGTGAAATATCTCATTACATAGTTGAAAGAAGAGAAACAAGTAGGCTAATCTGGACAACTGTTGAGCCAAAAGTTAAGACGCTTAATCTGAAAATTACAAAACTTTTGGAGGGAAATGAGTACTGCTTCCGTGTCTTAGCTGTGAACCAGTATGGAGTTGGCAAGCCACTTGAATCTGAGGCTGTAATTGCTAAATGTCCATTTGTTGCTCCCGATGCACCTAAAGGTGTTGAGGTTTACAATATTGCAAAAGACTCAATGATTGTAACCTGGGAAGCACCTACTAACAATGGTGGCAGTCCTATTATTGGGTATGTTATTGAAAAACATGATAAAGAAGGTGTGAGATGGACTAAATGCAACAGGGATACAGTGAATGAATTACACTTCAGGGTTACTGGACTTCTTGAAAATCATAATTATGAATTTAGAGTTTCAGCTATGAATATTTCTGGCCTTGGAGAGGCTAGTACCCCATCCATTTACTATAGAGCCTTGGATCCTACTTTCAAACCCGGCCCTCCAAACAATCCAAAAGTAATTGATATATCAAGTACTTCTGTTGTTCTTGCTTGGGGAAAACCTGTATGTGATGGTGGGTGTGAAATACAAGGATATATAGTGGAGGTAAGCGAGGCAACAGCTGAAGAACAATGGAAAATGTGCACACCACCAACAGGTGTCAAGCAAACAAAATATGAAGTTGTAAAACTACAAGAAAAACATGAATATAAGTTTAGGGTATGTGCTGTTAGCAAGGCTGGTGTTGGTGAGCATGCAGATGTCCCTGGGACAGTCCTGGTTGAAGATAAGATGGAAGAACCAGAGCTTGATCTTGGTGCTGAACTTATGAAGATGCTTAATATTAAAGCTGGAAATACTCTTAGAGTGTTCATTCCAATTAAAGGGAGACCAGCCCCAGCAATTAAATGGGAAAAGATAGATGGTGAAATAAAGGAGAGAGCTCAGATTGAGGTAACAAGTAGACATACTTGCCTTGTGATTGACAACGTCAACAGATTTGATAGTGGAAAGTATACTGTTACTGCAGAAAATTCAAGTGGTTCAAAATCTGCTGTAGTAAGTATCAGGGTGCTTGACACACCGAGTGCTCCAGTTAACCTCAAAGTCAAGGAAATTACGAAACAGTCCATCACACTTACATGGGAACCACCTACTGTGGATGGCGGAGCTAAAATAAAGAACTACATTATTGAAAAGCGAGAAAGTACAAGAAAGACTTATTCAGCTGTTACTACTAACTGCCACAAAACAACTTGGAAGATAGAACCACTTCAGGAAGGCTGCAATTATTACTTCAGAGTTCTTGCTGAAAATGAGCATGGTATTGGCTTGTCTGCAGAAACAGTTGATGCTCTGAAAGTGTCAGAAGTGCCCCAGTCTCCTGCCAGTCTAACTGTTGTTGATGTGACACGCAATAGTGTGTCCCTTGCATGGGAAAAACCTGAGCATGATGGAGGAAGCAAAATCTTTCAGTACCTGGTGGACATACAAAAAAAGGATAGTGACAAGTGGATTAACTGTGCTAATGTCAAAACTCTTGAGACTGTTGTGAGCAATTTAGTTCAAGGAGAAGAATATATTTTCAGAGTTATTGCTGCTAATGAAAAAGGAAAGAGTGATCCAAGAACGCTTGCTGTTCCTGTGCAGGTAAAGGATCTTGTGATTGAACCAGATGTAAGACCCGTATTTAGCAGTTATGCTGTACCAGTTGATAAGGACCTCAAAGTAGAAATCCCAATTTCTGGACGTCCAAAACCAAACATTACTTGGACAAAGGATGGCTCACCACTTAGACAAACAACGAGGGTTAATGTTGTGGACACTGAACATTTCACAATGCTTAACATAAAAGAAGCAACCAGAGATGACTCTGGGATTTATGGCATTGTGGTATCTAATACTGTTGGACAAAAGGATGCCACCATTGAAATAATCACACTGGATAAACCTGGGCCCCCAACAGGGCCTGTAAAATTCAATGAGATCAGTGTAGAAAGTGTGAAAATTTCTTGGGAGCCACCAAAGTTCACTGGGGGTTGCCCAGTTTCACACTATATTGTACAAAAGAGAGACACAACCACAACCACCTGGGAAAATGTTTCAACCTCTGTAGCAAGATCTGCTCTGAAGGTGCCCAGACTGAAAACTGGAGCAGAATATCAGTTCAGAGTTATTGCTGTAAATCGTTATGGCAAAAGTTATGGTTTAGACTCTGCATGTGTAGTTGCCCAATATCCTTATAGAGAACCAGGTCCACCAGGAACTCCTTTTGTCTCATCACTATCAAGGAATCATATGGTGGTGGAATGGCATGAACCAGTGATAGATGGTGGCAGCAGTATAATTGGTTACCATCTTGAGCGGAAAGAGAGAAACAGTATTCTATGGACCAAAATTAATAAGTCTCTAATTAAAGAAACTCACTTTAAAACAACTCCTTTGGAGGAAGGTATTGAATATGAGTTCAGAGTTTATGCTGAAAATATTGTTGGGATAGGCAGAAGCAGCAAAATCTCAGAGGGTTGTGTGGCACGTGACCCCTGTGATCCACCTGGAACTCCAGAAGTTGTAACTGTGAGTAGAGACTCAATCACAGTCCAGTGGACAAAGCCTGAATATGATGGAGGAAGTGTAATTACTGGCTACATTGTGGAGAAACGAGATCTTCCAGAGGGACGCTGGATGAAGGCCAATTTCACAAATGTTATTGAAACACAGTTTACAGTAACTGGTTTAACTGAGGATGCCAAATATGACTTCAGGGTTATTGCAAAGAATGCAGCTGGAACAATTAGTAAGCCATCTGACAATACTGGACCAATCACTGCAAAGGATGAAGTTGACCCTCCCAGATTTTCAGTTGACCCAGAGTTCAGCCAAGCCATTGTTGTAAATGCTGGAGAGACTTTTAAGCTTGATGCTGATATCAAAGGAAAACCCATACCAACAGCTCAGTGGTTCAAGGGTGACAAAGAAATTGAAAATACACTGAGATGTGAGATCAAAAACACAGATTCCAAAGCAATGATTGTTTTCAAAGATACAATTACAGCTGATGGCGGGCAATACACTTTGCTACTCACAAACTTAGCTGGTACCAAGACTATTTCATACAATGTCAAAGTACTAGACCGACCAGCTCAATGTGAGGGACCCCTTAATATAACTGGTGTAACAGCTGAAAAATGTGTACTGTCATGGCACCCACCACAATATGATGGAGGCAGCAGTGTTACCCATTACATTATTGAAAGGAGGGAAACAAGCCGACTTGCATGGACTGTAGTCACTAATAATTGTACAGTTAATATGTTTAAGGTAACAAAGCTCCTTGAAGGAAATGAGTATATATTCCGTGTAATGGCTGTCAACAGATATGGAATTAGTGAACCACTAGATTCTGCCCAAGTGATAATGAAAAACCCATTTGTTACACCTGGGTCACCACATATTCTAGAAGTATCAAACATTACAAGGGACTCTATGACAGTGTGCTGGGCTCCACCAGACACTGATGGTGGAAGTGAAATTATTGGCTACATTATTGAGAAAAAAGACAGGTCTGGAATCAGATGGACAAGATGCAACCGACAAAAAGTCACTGATGTGTGTTTCAGAGTGACATGTTTAGCAGAAGATCATGAATATGAATTCAAAGTTTCTGCTGAAAATGCAGCTGGATTGGGAGAACCAAGTTTACCAAGTGCTTACTATAAAGCTTATGATCCAAAGTTCAAACCTGGACCACCTACTCATGTGCATGTGATTGACACCACAAAGAGCTCAATTTCAATAACATGGGGCAAACCAGTTCATGATGGTGGTAGTGCAATTCAAGGGTACATTGTAGAGATATGCAAAGCTGAAAATGAGGAATGGATTATGTGCACACCACCAACTGGTCTCCGTGTGAACAAATTTGAAATTCATAAACTTATAGAAAATCAGGAATATAATATCCGGGTCTGTGCAATGAACAAGATAGGTGTTGGAGAACTAGCAGCCATTCCTGGAACTGCTAAACCTGAAGAGAAAACTGAAGGCCCAGAACTCAGCCTTGATTCAGAACTAAGGAAAGGAATTGTAGTCCGTGCTGGAGGATCTGTGCGGATTAATATTCCATTCAGAGGAAGACCAAGTCCTGATATTGGCTGGTCTAAAGATGAAGCTGAATTGTCTGATAAGGTGCTAATTGAGAAGGGGCTTAACTACACCCAGCTTTCAATTGATGGCTGTGATAGAAATGACACTGGAAAATATACACTAAAACTGGAAAACAAGAGTGGTTCTGTGTCTGAGTTTGTGTCTGTTAAAGTTCTGGATACGCCAGGCCCACCCTTAAATCTTGAAATGAAAGAAATTAAAAAAGACTCTGTCACTCTTGTATGGGAACCACCAGTAACTGATGGCGGAGCAAAGATAAAGAATTATGTTGTTGATAAGCGGGAATCAACCAGAAAAACATATTCTAATGTTACTGCCAAGTGCCTAAAAACATGTTTCAAGGTAGAAAATATTGTAGAAGGTGCTATGTATTACTTCAGAGTGATGGCTGAGAATGAATTTGGAGTTGGCCAGCCAGTTGAATTAAAGAATGCAGTGAAGGCATCTGAAATTCCTCTACCAGTGGGAAAGGTCACTTTAATTGATGTGACTAAATCTAGTGTCTCTCTAGCATGGGAAAAACCAGAGCATGATGGTGGTAGCAGGATTACAGGTTACTTAATTGAAATGCAGCCTAAAGGAACCGACAAATGGGGTGTTACAACATCAACAAAGACATGTGATGGCATAGTTTCGGCACTAACAGCTGGTCAGGAATACAGTTTCCGTGTTATAGCATATAATGAAAAAGGAAAAAGTGACCCAACACCACTGGCCGCACCTGTTATTGCCAATGATTTAAATATTGAACCAAGTTTCAGATTGCTGTTCAATTCCTACAATGTCAAATCAGGGAAAGATCTCAAGATAGAAATACCTGTGATAGGCCGTCCTAAACCGAAAATTGAATGGATGAAGGATGGAGAAGCACTGAAACAAACTACAAGGGTGACTTACTCAAGTACACATGTTTCAACTATCCTTCAGATCAAGGAAGCAAACAAAGATGACCTTGGTAAATACACAGTTACTGCAACAAATAGTGCTGGTTCAACAACAGAAGAGATTGGAATCACAGTACTTGACAAACCTGGCCCCCCAATGGGCCCCATTAAAATTGATGAAGTAAGTAACAATTTTATTTCCATTTCATGGGAACCTCCTGAATACACAGGTGGCTGTCAGGTAAAGAACTACATTGTTGAAAAACGTGACACAACTACTACAACCTGGCAGGTTGTGTCTGCATTGGTTGCTAGGACTGCTATCAAGATAACTAAACTGAAAACAGGTTCAGAGTTTCAGTTCCGAGTGACTGCTGAGAACAGATATGGAAAGGGCCCTTCACTGGACTCACCATCAATTGTTGTACAATACCCCTACAAACTCCCAGGACCACCTAGCACCCCATTTGTCAAATCAGTATCAAGGGACCACATGGTTGTTGAATGGAACATACCAGTTAATGATGGTGGTGGTGCAATTATTGGTTACCACCTTGAAAGTAAAGAAAGAAACAGCGTTCTATGGGTTAGACTGAACAAGATTCTTATTACTGATACCATCTTCAAAGTAAACAATCTTGAAGAAGGAAATGGATATGAATACAGAGTTTTTGCAGAAAATATTATTGGTGTTGGTAGAGCCAGCAAAGTTTCAGAATGTTATGTGGCTCGTGATCCATGTGATCCACCTGGCACACCTGAACCTGTTGTCATCTCTAAAAACCAAATCACACTTCAATGGACAAAACCAGAATATGATGGTGGCAGCAAAGTCACTGGATATATTGTAGAAAAAAGGGATTTGCCTGAAGGTCGCTGGGTGAAATCCAGCTTCACAAATGTTATTGAGACTGAGTTTACAGTCTCTGGATTAACACAAGATCAAAAGTATGAATTTAGAGTGATTGCAAGAAATGCAGCTGGTATTTTCAGTGAGCCGTCTGAAAGCACTGGACCAATTACTGCAACAGATGAAGTTGAACCCCCACGTGTTTCTATCGATCCACAGTACAAGGATGTTATAGTAATTAATGCTGGTGAAACCCTTGTCCTTGATGCTGATATTTATGGAAAACCAGTGCCTGATGTAACTTGGGCAAAAGATGGAAAAGAAATTGAAAAAAATACGGCAAAGATGGAGGTGAAAACTACAGTAAAACACACCATGCTGGTTGTTAAGGATTGCAATAGAAATGACAATGGGCACTTTGAGCTTACCCTCAGTAATATTGGTGGAACAAAAACAATACCAATCACAGTGAAAGTTCTTGACAGACCAGGACCTCCATCGGGTCCACTCCAAGTGACTGATGTAACTGCGAACACATGTTGCTTATCCTGGAATGAACCTTTGCAATATGGGGACATTAAAGTTTCTCACTACATTATTGAAAAGAGAGAAACCAGTCGGCTATCATGGACTCTAACAGAATCTAAAGTTCAAACCACCAGTTGTAAAGTGACTAATCTCCTGACTAGTGAAGAGTACATTTTCAGAGTTATGGCAGTTAATAAGTATGGTGTGAGTGAACCTCTTGAATCTGAGCCAGTGATAGCACGCAGCCCATTCAAGCCACCAAGTGCACCTTCTACTCCTGAAGCAAGTTCTATAGCAAAGGATTCCATGGTCCTAACATGGAATCAGCCAGAGCATAATGGTGGATCAGAAATTGAATGCTACCATCTTCAGAAACGTGACAAAGATAGCATTAGATGGATAAAATGTAATAGACAGAAATTGAACGAGCAACATTTCAAAGTCACTGGACTTATAGAGGGGCACTTCTATGAGTTCAGAGTCTCTGCAGAAAACAAGGTTGGTAAAGGAGAGTCAAGTGAACCTTCATTGTTCTACAGAGTCTGTGATGCCACACGTCCACCTGGCCCACCAAATCATCCCAAAGTGATGGATCACACAAGCACAACTGTATCTCTATCTTGGAGCAAACCTATGGATGATGGTGGTGCATATATAAAAGCATACTTGGTTGAAATGAAAGAAGCAGCACTGGACGAATGGGTTATATGTACCCCACCAACTGGTATACAAGCAACACGCTATGTTGTTGAAAAACTAAAGGAAAATACTGAATACAACTTCCGTATATGTGCAATTAACTCTGAAGGAGTAGGAGAACCTGCTGACATCCATGGCTCTGTTGTTGCTGCTGAAAAAGTTGAAACTCCAGAAATAGAACTAGATTCAGACCTAAGGAAAGTTGTCTCCATGCGTGCAGGTGGAACACTTCGTCTTTTTGTCACAATCAGGGGTCGCCCTGTTCCTAATGTCAAATGGGAAAAGGAAGAAGGATCTCTGACTGAAAAGACACAAGTTGAAACCACAAATTCTTATACAATTCTTACCATTGACAATGTCAATAGATTTGACAGTGGCAAATATGTTTTGACTCTGGAAAACAACAGTGGCACAAAGTCTGCCTTTGTCAGTGTTAGAATACTGGACTCACCAAGTGCACCCCTTAATTTTGTAGTCAAAGACATCACGAGAGATTCAGTAACACTTCTGTGGGAGCAGCCTTTAACTGATGGTGGAGCCAAAATAACTAACTACATAGTAGAAAAACGAGAATCTGTAAGAAAGGCATACACTGCAGTCACGAATAATTGCACACAGAATATGTTTGTAATTAGTGAGCTCCAAGAGGGAGGTATTTATTACTTCCGTGTACGGGCTGTAAATGAGCATGGCATTGGTTTGGCGGTAGAAACTAAGGATCCAGTAAAGGTTGCCCAAGCTCCTATGCCACCGGGTAAAGTTTCTGTTGTAGATGTGACACGAAACAGTGTAACTCTGTCATGGGAAAAACCATCACATGATGGTGGTAGCAAAGTAATATGCTATAATGTAGAAATACAAACTAAAGGCAGTGATAAGTGGAATGTGAGCACCACAACTAAAGGACTGGAAGCAACAGTTACTGGTCTTACATCAGGTGAACAGCATTCTTTCCGCATTATTGCTGTGAATGAAAAAGGAAAAAGTGAACCAAAAGAACTGGGAGTACCTGTGATTACAAAAGACATACAGATGGAGCCCACTCTTAACTTACTTTTCACTACTTATAGTGTGAATGCTGGAAAAGACCTTACAATTGAAGTTCCATTTAGAGGCAGACCTAAGCCTGCTGTTTCTTGGAAGAAGGATGGTCTTCCTCTAAGGCAGACATCCTCAATAACTCTTTTAACATCTGAAGCCTCATCCAAAATTTCCTTCAAGGAAGCTACTAGGGATCATGTTGGAAAATATGAAATCACTTTAGCTAATACTGCTGGCACCAAATCAGTTGAAATTGGTGTTGTTGTCCTTGACAAACCTGGCTCACCAACAGCACTGAAAGTAGATACTGTTACTTCTGAAAGCATAACCTTATCCTGGAATCCACCAGAGTATGATGGTGGATGCAACATCAACAACTATATTGTAGAGAAGAGGGACACTATCACAACAGTATGGGAGACTGTATCATCTGCAGTTGCTAGAACATCAATTAAAGTTTCTCGGTTGACACATGGTTCAGAATATCAGTTCCGTGTATATGCTGTGAATCGCTATGGAAAGGGACCATTTGTTGAGTCCTCAGGCATTACTGCTCAGTATCAATTCAAGCTACCTGGTCCACCTGCTACACCACAGATTGCCCATGTAACTAAAGCATTCATGTTTGTTACATGGAATGAACCAGTAAATGATGGTGGAAGCCCAGTTCTTGGATATCACCTAGAGCGCAGGGAAAGAAGTAGTGTTCTTTGGATAAAGATGAACAGGAGGCTGATCAAAGACACAGAATTCAAGGTCACAGGAACTGAAGAGGGTTTGTTTTATGAATATCGAGTCTATGCAGAAAACATTGCTGGTATTGGTAAATGCAGCAAAACCAGTGAACTGGTGGCAGCAAGAGACCCTTGTGACCCTCCTGGTAAACCCACTATCACGAACATCACTAAAACATCTGTTTCATTATTATGGACAAAGCCAGAGTATGATGGTGGAGCCAAAGTCACCGGTTACATTGTTGAAAGGAGGGAACTTCCCCAGGGTCGTTGGTTGAGGTGCAATTTCACCAATATCCAGGAAACATACTTAGATGTTACTGGCCTTACAGAAAACCAGCAATATGACTTCCATGTCATAGCAAAGAATTCAGCAGGTTTATTCAGTGATCCATCTGACTGCACAGGCCCTATAACAGCCAAAGATGATGTGGATCCACCACGGATAATGATGGATGTGAAGTTCAGAGATGTCATTGTGGTGAAAGCAGGAGATGCATTGAAAATATATGCTGATATTTCTGGACGCCCCATTCCAGTTGTTTCCTGGGCAAAAGAAGGTAAAGAGATGGAGCCAAGGCCTAGAATTGAGATTTGTACAACAGACATCAACACCACTTTAATTGTTAAAGATTGTGTCAGAAGTGACTCAGGACAGTATATCTTGATGTTAAAAAATGTGGCTGGAACAACATCACTCCCCATCAACTGCAAGATCCTTGATAAGCCAGGACCATCAGCAGGACCACTGGAAGTCACTGGCCTTACATCAGAAAAATGCACATTGAGTTGGGGACCCCCTCATGAAATAGGTGGTGCAGAAATCACCCACTACATTGTTGAGAAACGTGAAACAAGCCATTTGGCTTGGACACTGGTATACGGAGAGATGAAGGCAACAACTTGCAAAGTTACTAAACTTCTCAAAGGCAGTGAGTACACCTTCAGAGTTTTAGCTGTGAACAAATTTGGAATTGGTGAAGCCCTGGAAAGTGTCCCCATTAAGGTATTAGATCCATTCACGGTCCCATCTGCACCCACACGGGTGGAGGTTGCGAATGTGAGCAGTGAGGCAATGACAATCTGCTGGGAGAAACCTACTTCTGATGGAGGCAGTGAAATCACCAGCTACAACATTGAAAGGCGTGAGAAGTCTGGCATGCACTGGATACGAATCAACAAAAAGCCAGTGACTGATATCACATTCAGAGCAACAAACCTCCGTCATGGATGTGACTATGAATACCGTGTCATTGCTGAAAATGCTGCTGGTTTAAGTCTTCCAAGTGATCCATGCCCACTGACTACAGCAGAGGACCCCCGCTTCCCACCATCACCTCCCACTAAACCAAAGGTGGTTGATTCAACCAAAGACTCCATCAGTATTATTTGGAACAAGCCACTGTCCGATGGGGGAAGCCCTGTACTTGGATACAGGGTGGAATATAAGAAAACAGAGGACACAGGCTGGATTGTAGCTGTCCCAAGCACAAGAAATACTGAGTTTACAGTTGGTGGACTTTCACCTGGAGCAGAATATATGTTTATTGTCAAGTCCATCAGTAAGATTGCTGTCAGTAATCCAAGTCTGGCCTCAGAGCCCCACATTGCAAAGGAGAGAGAAGAAGAGCCAGTGTTTGATGTGGACATTGAAATGCGCAAAATAATTCTTGTTAAACATGGCAACTCTTTTACCCTTACTGTGCCATTCAAGGGAAAACCAGTCCCAAGTGTTCTGTGGGAAAAAGAAGAAGTTAATCTGAAGGAGATAGCAAGCATTGACACAAGTGATACCTGCACAAAACTTACAATAGAAAATGCCACAAGATTTGACTCTGGAAAATATACTGTAACATTGCAGAATCCAATTGGAACTGCTGCTTTGACACTTGCTGTCAAAGTACTTGACTCTCCTGGGCCACCATCACAAATTAAGATCACAGATGTCACAAAAGATTCAGTAACAGTAACATGGGAAGCACCAGAAAATGATGGTGGTGACCCAATTAAAAACTACCATGTAGAGAAGCGTGAGGCAAGCAAAAAGGCATGGGTGAGTGTGACAAACAACTGCCATACTATGAGCTACAAAGTAGAAGACTTACAAGAGGGAGCCATCTATTACTTCAGAATAATTGGTGAAAATGAATTTGGAATTGGTATTCCCTTGGAAACCAAAGATGGGATGAAGATTACAGGTCAGTGTTTGCATTTAATCTACATAATAAATACCTGGGGAGTGTTCTTCGTATTTGGATTTAACTGTTGACGATTTGACCACATCGCATATTTCTTGATTCTTCAAAACTGTTGTTGGACCTGTCCATAAGCTCAAACCTACTCAGGAGCAGGTTTATCCAATGTAAACAGGATTAGATCCAGATTTAAACTGAGGTGTCCTCTCAGGAATCATAGCCACGCCATTCTTATAAGAGCAACCGAATACAATTGATGCAATCATACTAAGAAATTTTTTAAATCAAACTTTATTGCATGATAGTGCAGTACAAATACAAAAGCCAAATAAGAAAAATATAAATAATACAGTATATGGCAACCATCGACAAAACACTAGTCTTTTGGATGAAATAAAATAGTTATAGAAATGGATGGTTTTAACAGCCATAGCATGATTGGAAAGCGAGGTATAGTCCATGTAGTTATGAAGTTATGAAGGTTTCATACCATTGAATTTAAAATTATGTATATAGTATTTGGCAAATAAGAAGAGCATTCCAAATTGAATCCATATTCCACAATCATCAAGATCCTTTAGAGTATCCTGACAAATTACTTTGTGAGTTATTGCTTCATTGAGAGGGAATAATACACATTGGCAATTTGCTGGTTCCATATAGTACAACCTAAATTCGCCAAAATCATCTTCTCTACAGGAGTGTTCAAATACTGTATGCTCATGTTACAAGTTACTGGGGTCCCCATCCCATTACTCTGGCATTGGGTAAAGTTTGAGGATATTGAATTGAAGTTTACTTCTAAATGGATTGCTTTTATATAGCACTTTTCTACTCCTACGAGTACTCAAAGTGCTTTACAATTCATGCCTCACATTCACCCATCCAAACACACCGGTGGCTGAGGCTGCCATGCACACCGGGCGCAATTTGGGGTTCAGTGTTTTGCTCAAAGACACTTTGATGGGGTCAGGAGGAACCAGGGCTCAAACCTGCAACCCTCTGGTTGTCGAACGATAGCACTACCTCCTGCGCCACCATCTTCCCCTAATACAACGTTACATTCTCTCAAAGCACTTTATATTGTCCCTGCCCAATGCCCCGAGACAGCAAACCAGAGGTGACTGTGGCAAAGAAAAACTTCCTAGTAGGAAGAAGCCTTGTGAGGAACCAGATTCAAAGAGGGGCCCAACCTGGCAAAGGAAGTCCAAAGTTCCCTGCAACTGACCCATCACAAAAAAAGGCCTGCGATGATACATTTACAAATATATATTTATGACATACTTGACCACTGTGGCATCTTGCCAGTGGCTCTGAGGATGACCCCCCCCCCACATGCCTTTAAAAATGGTGTGATAGGCATTTTGCTAGATAGTTACATCTTCAGCTGGAGTGAAGTCTGGCACAACTGGCCTTCCACAGTTTTTTAAGGTTAGCCTTCTTTCTATTTGATTTTAAAAGGAAAGAAAATTAATTGACCTGTAGCTAATACAAATTTAGGTTAAAAGTAACATGAGCCAGTTTGAAAAATATTTTTGTGGTTTACTTCAACCTATTCCCAGGTTCCTCAAGTGCTGGTACTTGCTCTAAATATGATGGGCTGAATAATTCATATACACAATGAAAAGGCTGCGATAGTAAACAATTAAAAAGGACACTTACATGTTTAATTTTCAGCTACTTTTTGCCAGCTGTCCTCTCTTGTTTTGGCTGCTTTTACTATATTGTATTTGATACGTATTGTTTTCCTGAATTTCCTCATATCCCTCTAGCAAAAGTTCTTGCTCTGTTGGGGGTGAAGAATTGCACCCTCGCTTTCACCAATTTAGACAACCAATCATAGACTTGCCCATCATGGTTGCACATGTTGATATGCACTATATGGTCAAAAGTATTGAGGCACCTGATCATTACACCTATAGGAGCTATTATTATTTTATGTGGTTTGCCACTTTGTCCCTAAATGCTTCTGTTGTCCCTAAATGCTTCCACTTTGCAATAATACCACTTATAGTTAACAATGAAGCCGGGAAGAAATTTCATGAACTGACTTAATGTTAATGAGTCATCCTATGACAGCACCATGCTTGAATTCACTGAACTCTTCAGAACAAGTAATTCTTTGAGAAATGTTTGTAAACCTGACTGCATGGCTTGGTGCTTGATTTTATATACCTGTGGCAATGGGTCTGAATGAAACATTTGAATTCAATGATTAAGAGGTGTGTTACAAAATTTTTGTCAATATAGCATATGTAGCCTAGTCAGTGACCACTGGAGCATGCAGATTTTCTAATCCAATTCTCTTATGGCTTTGAAGAACCAAAATAGCCTGATACACATAATATCCGGGATAAGTCCTCTGATTTTGGATGTGTTAAGTGACGTACGGAGAACACCCCCCACTTCAGTTTGTTAGTTCTCTCTATTTTGTATTTTTCAGAATTTGTAAAATGTGTTGTTTTTTTACCCACAGAAAAACCAAGTGCACCAGCAAGACTTGGAGTTGCTACAGTAACAAAAGATAGTGTTTCATTATCTTGGAGTAGACCAGAGCATGATGGAGGCAGCAGGATTACTGGCTACGTTATTGAGGCTATTGAAAAAGGACAGAAGAAGTGGGTCAAGTGTGCTGTGGTTAAAGCTAATGTTCACGTTATTCGTGGACTGAGGGAGAATGTCGAGTATTTCTTCAGAGTCTGTGCCGAAAACCATGCTGGGCTAAGTGAACCCAAAGAGATGATTGTGCCTGTGCTTATAAAAGACCAGCTTGGTAAGATATTGCATTTTACACATAATTTTAGTTTGACATTTTTATAGCTAATTTTAGTATATATAATAAGTAATTTGACTTGTTCTTAAAATGTTTGTTTTTGGCCTCTTTATTTATCTGTTTGTTTGTTTATTAATTACAGAAGCCCCAGAGTTTAATATGGAGAACTTCCCTCGTAATACAGTCTATGTCAGAGCAGGAGCTAACCTCAAATTTGAAATACCTTTCACTGGTAAACCTTTGCCAAAGGTTACTATTTCAAAAGAAAATATTGCTTTGAAATCCACCAAGAGGTTTAAATATGAAGTCACTCCTGATGGTCTGGTGATGAACCTTGAGGAATGTGTCACTGGTGATGCTGGCAAGTATGAGATTACTGCCTCCAACACAAGCGGAGTGACCAAGACTTTTGTGAACATTCTGGTTTTGGATAGGCCTGGTCCTCCAATTGGACCTGTCAAAATTGGGGAGGTCACTGGGCACAGTGTGAGCCTTACATGGCTTCCCCCCATGTATAGTGGTGGCAGTCCTGTCACGAATTACATCATACTTAAGCGTGAGACAAGCACTCCTACCTGGACAGAGGTGTCCTCTACAGCTGCGAGAAGTGCAATAAAGGTGACAAAATTAACCAAAGGGGAAGAATACCAATTCAGAATCAAAGCAGAAAACCGCTTTGGCATCAGTGATCACATTGACTCTGTGAGTGTAACAGTAAAGCTCCCATACAGTAAGTATATTGATACTTGAAAAACTCACTGTGTTGTATTTGATACACTACAAATATCCCTATAATCATTAAATGCAGCCATAAATGCATCATTAGTATCCCTATAAATAAAAGCTTAAATGTATTGTTCTTACTTTCAGCAATTCCTGGGCCTCCTTCAACACCATGGGTCAGTTTTGTCTCCAGGGAGAGCCTCACTGTCTGCTGGCATGAACCTGTGTCTGACGGAGGAAACCATGTCTTCGGTTACCACTTACAGATGAAAGAAAGATCTAGTGCTCTGTGGCAGAAGATTAATAAAGTTTCCATTAGTGCCACACAATATAAAGTAACAAACATATCCCCTGGCCATATCTATGAGTTTAGAGTGGCTGCAGAAAATGCTGCTGGAATAGGTAAAATTAGTAAAACTTCAGAGGAAGTCCTAGCAATCGATGCTTGTGGTAAGTAAATTTATGTTATATTTGATTCTGTCATTGTTGATTATAGAATTGTTTGAGCTTTTCAAAATTAAATGTTATGTAAATGCTGCTTTTCAGAACCTCCAGCTAATCTGCGTGTCTCTGAAACAACAAAGAACACTGTCACACTTGTTTGGCAGAAGCCTCATTATGATGGTGGAAGCAAGATCACTGGATATGTTGTTGAGCGGAGAGAATCTCCAAAAGGCAGATGGACAAAGGCCAATTTCTCTAATGTCATTGAAACAAATTTCATTGCATCTGGCTTAACTCAGGATGAGTCATATGAATTCAGAGTGTTTGCAAGGAATGCAGTTGGTTCTCTCAGCAATCCATCACTGATTGCAGGGCCAGTTAAATGTGTTGATGTACAGGGTAAGTGTTTGTCCCTTTTTAGGTAGAGGATATCAGACATTTGGTGTTTTGCTAACCATATTCATTAATTTCCAATCCAGGAGCTCCTGAGATCGACCTCCCTCCAGAGTATCTGGACGTGGTGAAGTACAAGGCCGGAAAAGTGGTCAAGATTCATGTTGGAATCATTGCCAAACCACTCCCGACAATCGAGTGGTACAAAGATGGTAAGGAATTGGTGTCAAGTGCTCAGGTGTCCATTGAGAGCAGTACAGACACCTCAGGATTTCTCATCAAAGATGCCAGCCGCCACCATACTGGATTGTATGAAATCAAGATCAAGAATCCATTGGGCTCAGCTTCTGCATCCATCAGATTACAAATTCTAGGTAGGCATCTTTAGTTAATTGTACTATGGCAACATTATGAAATTAATTTCAGAAATATAACAACATAGTTTTTATTTGGACTATATTTCTTTTTATTTTTTTTATCAGATGTACCTGGTTCCCCAGCTGGAAATATTGAATTTAAGTCTGTCACAGAAGACAAGATTACCATATCTTGGGAGCCTCCCACTGATGATGGTGGTGCAAAGGTCACCCACTACATTGTGGAAAAACGAGAGACAAGCAGAGTTGCATGGTCAGTCATATCCGAAGAGATGGAAGAACACACTGTATCAGTTGAGAAATTGGTCAGGGGCAATGAGTATGTATTCCGAGTAAGAGCTGTCAACAAGTTTGGAGTTGGAGAACCTTTGGAATCTGAGCCTGTTATTGCCAAGAATGCATTTGGTGAGAATAATAGAAAAAATCAATGTAATAATAGTATTACTAATTCAAATTTTGGTGAAAACTAGCATTTAAAAATGTTTGCTTTGTTATCTCAGTCACACCTGGACAACCAGGTACACCAGAAGTGACTGCAATTACCAGATCAACCATGACCGTTGTCTGGGACAAACCAGGTGTGGATGGTGGCAGTCTAGTCATTGGATACTGCCTGGAGAAACGTAACAAGAAGAGTTTACGGTGGCAAAAGGTCTTCAGAGATCCTGTTTCTGGCACCACACAAAAAATTCACAACCTAACAGAAGGAAATGAGTATCAGTATCGTGTGTATGCAATTAACAAGGCTGGAGAGGGTCCATTTTCTACTTCCTCTGACTTCTACAAAGCAGCTGATCCAGTTGGTAAGAATGCTGTAGTATTTTCCACAGAATTACAACGTAAGATGGTGATATTTGCTTTATTGTAAATACCCTGCATTTTTGTAATATTTCCCCCCCATCTAGACCCGCCAGATGAACCAACTAAGCTAAAAGTGATTGACTCAACTAAAACATCAATCACCCTCGGTTGGGCAAAACCGGAATACAATGGAGGCAGTGAGATCACCAGTTATGTTGTTGAAAAGAGAGTGGCTGAAGAAGCAGAATGGGTTGTGGTCAGCACTAAGGGTGAAGTGAGAACAACAGAGTATGTAGTGTCACAGCTTAAGCCTGATGTGGATTACTACTTCCGTGTATCAGCTATTAACTGCGCTGGATGTGGGCAGCCAATTGAGATGATTGAGCCTGTTCAAGCTAAAGATGTTCTTGGTAATTATAAATAAATGTGTTTATGTATATACGTGTATGTATCTATGTACGCATGTATGTATACTGTATACGAATATATGTTTGTGTGTGTGTTTGTGTGTGTCCCCACCAAATGTCCCCACAATGTGATGAATACCCGTTTTTTTACCTTATGGGGACCAGTTTCCAGGTCCCCATATGGGAAAACTCTATTTTATAAAAATCCATGACTGCAATGAAAAACTAAAAATGCAAAAACTCTTGTATTTTGTTTGGTTACTGGTTTTGTTACGGTTAGGGCTGGGTAGGGGTCAAAGTTTCATAGTCAGCATTAGCATTTTTCCCAAAGAAAGGAGTGGTCCCCAAAAAGATATAATTACACAGCTGTGTGTGTGTATGCGTGTGCATACAACTCTAGAAGAAATTAAGATATCACTCTATTTTTTTTAAATCTGCATTTTTGGATTAATCCTGGTTCTGCTGGGAGAATGTTACACTGTGAAGAAGGCTGCTTTCAGGCTCAAAGTTTCTAAGACAGCAATACTCAAGAACAAGGTGACGCAATAACCAAAAACCAGCCAGTAGAGGGCAGAAGGAACTTTCTAATGCAAGAGATGACCATCAACTTATTTGGCATTGCCTCATAAGTCGGAGGACTTAAGTGACCTCAAGTGACCTTCAAAAGGAATGGGAATCATTAAGTGGTGTGAAGTGCACTGCTAGGGCAATTCATAACAGGCTCCTAGAAGCAGGACTGACCCATAGAGCAAAGAAGAAGCACTTCATCAGTAAGAAGCAGGGAAGAACCAGTCTGAATTTTGCGAAAAAAAACAAAAAAACATATGTTTTACACAAGCACATAACCATAAATTGGGAAATGAGAGAAATTGAAAATTCAACTGTTAACGCTATGATGAAACTTGGATATTTTTCAGGTCACCATTTGGATAGCCAAAGTTTTATAAAAAATATGTGTATGCAATCAAAAATATAAAAAATGCCAAAAGTCTTGTATTCTGATTGGTTACTTATGTTACTTAAGGTTACGGCTGGGTAGGGGTTAAGGGTGTTGTGATTAGGATTGGGGTTTTTCCCATAGAAATTAATGGAAGGTCCCCATTTAGACAGGTAAGGCAACGTGTTTGTGTGTGTGTGTGTGTTTGTGTGTGTGTGTGTGTGTGTGTGTGTGTGTGTAATATAGTCATTGAGCAAACTGTTCACCTATATTATTTTTTCTTATCCTGCAGAGGAAGCTCAGATAGACCAAGATATTGCTATGAGGACACAATACACGGTGAAGGCAGGAACAAATGTGGAAATCTTGGTTCCACTAAAGGGTAGACCTGCACCAAGTGTCATCTGGAAAAAGGAAGAAGAGAACATCAGCAGTGATCCAAAATATGACATACATAACACAGAATCTTCAACACTGCTTGTCATTAACCAGGTCACTCGCAATGACACTGGCAAATACATCCTCCACATTAATAATGGTGTAGGCGAGCCGAAAACAGTAACCGTGTCTGTTAAAGTGCTTGACACTCCATCAGCTTGCCAGAAACTGGTGCTGAAGGATGTCACTCGTGGCAAAGTAACTCTTAGCTGGGAACCTCCTCTCCTTGATGGAGGTGCACCAATTACTAATTATGTCATTGAAAAGAGAGACTCAACCAAGCGATCATTCTCAAGTGTAGCTAAGTGTACAACTACTGCATATGAGATTGATGAACTCTCTGAGAAGTCTTCCTACTTCTTCCATGTCTTAGCTGAGAATGAAAATGGCATTGGTGATCCATGTAGTACTACAGAGCCAGTAAAGGCCACGGAGACTCCAGGACCAGTGAAAGATATCTCAATGAAAGACTCAACGAAAACCTCAGTAACATTGCAGTGGAAGAAGCCTGATTATGATGGTGGCAGCATTATAAATGATTATATCATTGAGAAAAGACTCCAGAGCGAAGAAGCATGGGAATTTGCAGGGACCAGCAAGCATTGTGAATATGAGATTAAAAAGCTCAAAGAACTAACAGTCATGCAATTCCGAGTATGTTCCAAGAATGAAAAGGGACAGAGTGACTTTAGAGAGTCTGAGCATATCATAGTTAAAGACTATATCATTCCTCCTGAGGCTGACCTATCAGAATATCCAGAGGGTGAACTCAGCGTGCGAATTGGACACAAAGTGCATATTGAACTTCCATACATGGGTAAGCCAAGGCCTTCTACTGAGTGGCTAAAAGACAACCTTCCTTTAAAGGAGAGTGACCAAATTCGCTTTAAGAAAACAGAAAATAAGGTGACCCTTATGATCAAGGATGTTAAAAAAGACGATGGAGGAAAATATACACTTACTCTTGATAATAAAGTCAACCGGAGATCATTCCATATCCAGCTCCTTGCTCTTGGACCTCCTTCCAAACCTATTGGCCCAATCCGATTTGATGAGATCAGAGCTGAAAGCATAATAATATCTTGGGATGAACCTAATGACAATGGAGGTGGAGAAATCACCTGCTACAGTGTGGAGAAACATGACACTTCCCAGGATACCTGGAAGATGGTTTGTTCAGCTGTGGTTGGAACTACATTTAAGGTGCCTAACTTAATTAAAGGAACGGGATATCAGTTTAGGGTATGTGCAGAAAACAGATATGGCGTGAGCGAGCCTCTAGTGTCACATAATGTGCTTGCAAAACATGAGTTCAGACCACCCGGCCCCCCAGGAAGGCCATTGGTATACAACATTACTAATGATGGCATGACAATTCAGTGGGACAAACCTGTTTATGATGGTGGCTCACCAATCATTGGCTTCCATGTTGAGAGGAAGGAGAGAAACAGTGTTATGTGGCAAAAAGTAAACACTGTCATAATAACTGAAAGAAACTACAGAATCATTGGCCTTCTTGAAGGACTGGAGTATCAGTTCAGAGTCTATGCGCAGAATGACTCTGGATATAGTCGAGTGAGTGAAGCCAGCAAGTATACCACGGCAGTATCTCCAGTTGGTAAGTTTATATTTCATAGGCCTTATATTTCAAGGCCTTACCATTATATGCATAAATCTTTAAGACCTTTTAACATAAAAAGTTTTTCTCTCCCATCTATTGATGATTTATTGACTGAAAAGTTCTTGTGATTTTCTTTTGTTTATATGTACTTATAAACTAGTTTTGGTATTGCTAATTAAGCTATAAATAAGGCTATACATTTCATGTAAATTCAAGGTCATACAACCAATAGCCACTCATAATACAAGTATTCATGTGAACATTTGTGATAATGACTACTTTTTTCCCCACTCTAGACATACCAGGCACGCCAGATTATACTGATATAACAAGTGAATCTGTGACACTAAAATGGGATGCACCTAAGCACGATGGAGGCAGCAAAATTGTGGCCTACAATGTGGAAAAACGCCAAGGAGATGGCCGTTGGCTGAAGTGCAACTTCTCTGATGTCCATGAATGTCACTTCACAGTGACGGGTCTTGCTTGTGGCGAGCGATATGAATTCCGAGTCACAGCAAGAAATGCTGTTGGCACTATCAGTCCACCTTCCCAGTCTTCTGGCTACATTCTAGTCAGAGATGAAAATGGTATGTATATTTACTGGTAATATGTACACACACACACACACTCACAAACACACATAGTACAAGTCAGAAGTTTGGACACACCAAGCTACCTTCAAAGGAGAAATATGGAACATTACATCACATAACCTGGCCACCTTACCTAAACATGCTAGAAATGGTCTAGTTATGATTTGAACTGGTAACCCAACCCCAACCCACAGAACTACCCCTACCCCCAACAAGAAGTTATTTTTTGTTTAATACCTTATTGGTCAATACATAATTATGGGCCTATTCATGTCAATGAAAGGCCCATATTACTCTTTACCTAGTAAACTACATTTTCCGAATTTGCGCTTAGCCCGTGAAAGGCACGGAGCTCTCTTTGGTGCCAAATCGTAGGGCTTGCTTAGCTGGACGGATTGATATATAGTTTGTCTCCGTACTCCTTACGGATTGCGTGCAATTGCCTCTCAAATTCGAAAAAAAACTTTATTATTTATTATGGGCCTATTCATGTAATGAAAGGCCCATATTACTCTTCACCTAGTAAACTACATTTTCCCAATTTGCGCTGAGCCCGTGAAAGGCACGGAGCTCACTTTGGTGCCAAATCATAGGGCTTGCCTAGCCAGATGTATTGATATATCAAGTGTCTCCGTATTCCTCACGGATCGCGTGCAATTCCTTCTCAAAATCGAAAAATAAACTTTATTTATTATTATGGGCCTATTCATGTCCATGAAAGACCTATATTACTCTTCACCTAGTAAACTACATTTTCGCAATTTGCGCTGAGCCCGTGAAAGGCATGGAGCTCACTTTGGTGCCAAATCTTGGGCTTGCCTAGCCGGACGGATTGATATATCAAGTGTCTCCTCACGGATCGCGTGCAATTCCTTCTCAAAGTCGAAAAAAAACTTTATTTATTATTATTATTATTATTATGGGCCTATTCATGTCAATGAAAGGCCCATATTACTCTTCACCTAGTAATTATGGGCCTATTCATGTCAATGAAAGGCCCATATTACTCTTTACCTAGTAAACTACTTTTTCTAAATTTGCGCTCAGCCTGTGAAATGGACGGAGCTCATTTTAGTGCCAAGTCGAAGGGCTTACTTAGACGGACGAATTGGTAAATATTTGTCTCGGTGCACCTTACACATTCCGTTCAATCACTCTTCAAAAAAATTGGAAAAAAAAACTTTATTATTATTATGGGCCTATTCATGTCAATGAAAGGCCCATATTACTCTTCACCTAGTAAACTACATTTTCCCAATTTGCGCTTAGCCCGTGAAAGGCACTTAGCTGACTTTGGTGCCAAATCGTAGGTCTTGCCTAGCCGGACGGACTGACATATCGATTTTCTCCGTACTCCTTACGGATTGCGTGCAATTACCTCTCAAAGTCGAAAAAAAAACTTTATTATGGGCCTATTCATGTCAATGAAAGGCCCATATTACTCTTCACCTAGTAAACTACATTTTCTGAACTTGTGCTTAGCCCGTGAAATGGACGGAGCTCATTTTCACTTAGACAGCTTACTTAGACGGACGGATTGACATATCGGGTGTCTCGGTACACCTTACGGATTGCGTGCAATTCCTTCTCAAAGTCAAAAAAAAACTTTATTATGGGCCTATTCATGTAATGAAAGGCCCATATTACTCTTCATTATTTATTATTCTTCCGTGATTTTCGGCAATTAATGCGGGTCGTACCGTAGCGTGCAGCCAGGCAATCTATATATCAAAAGTGAGTACTTCATGGTGTGAGGTGTGCTATTACTTTTCTGCGCAGAATATGCTACCATGGCAACGTTATTCACATTAAAA